GATAAATGGTTGTGTCACTGGAAGCAAGGACTAAAGAATAGAGCTTATTCAAACAGATTTATTTTTCTAATAAGGTTTGAAGAGTTTTTCCTTTCTTTTACATATAACAAAAGATCAGCATTTCTTCTCAAGGCTTGATTTCAGAGAAGGATTTAAAATTTCATTAGAAATTTGTCTGGCCTTCAAAAGCATTGTAGAAGAAAGATCACTCTCTTTGTTATTCTATTTCTACATTACTGAGTTTATAATTAATTGAATTGCTACTCCATTGAGTGATGTTTATGCAGACTGCCTGTTTTCTGCTTTTAGAGTGGAAATTGATAATGAAAAATAGCTGGCTTCTAAAAAGCATAGATATAGGCTGCTGCACTGCAGAAATTCGTGTCTACATCTTCTGTCCCTTAGGGAGCACCGCGTCCCTCTCTATGGCTGGAAATGTATTGCTCTGTAGGGTAGAAAAATTGATGCCTGAGTAAAATGGTGGAAATGAGCAGCAAAAAGGGGCATAGACTGCATTCCCCAACCCTGACCCCTTTGCACATATACAGCAATAAAATCTAGGTCACAAATATCCTGAGGGGGAGAAAGGGAGGTGAGTTTCCTGCCTGCAGCCCTCCCTGCTCTGCTGCCCTCAGCAGAAAAAGGCCTTTCCAATGTCAGGCTGGTTCACACACAGCAGGATAACTTTTTGAATGGTTTTAGTGACTGACAGCAGTCTGGAGCTTCAATACCCTCACAGTTTTGTCCTAGCAATGAACAGCTGGGTGGTGACCAGTTAAAGAAACACCAGAAACACTCTCTCTCCCATTGTGCTGGAAGTGAAAGGAGGACAGGGGCAGGACAGGGATGTCAAGAAAGAAAAGTGCTGTCATTTCTGCCAGTCCGCTGGGGTCTGTGTGCCCAGGGAGGTCCTTACATCAATCTATATCCTTCTAGATATCTATATCTAGATCAAGTGCACCCCCAGTATGTTCCTCCTGCCCCATCCCTCTAGTAGGATCCCAGTTTTCCCCTCCTATTTCCCCCATTCTTCCAGCCCCCAGCACCAGGACCCTGTGATCTCATTCCTTTCCTTCCCAGTTCAATTCAACTGTGCTGAAACAGGGGACATTCTACCTCCACAATGCATACCATCTTCCAATGATGGTGTTTGCTGGGACCTGGATCCACACAAAAAGAGATTCACAAGGGTGCAACACCACCCAGGAGTTGAGGGAACCTGGGTATTCCCACCCCATACTGAGACCCTTCATTACCACACCGGCACAAGGCCACTTAGCTGGGAGAGAGTGTTAAGCCTTACATGGCGAACCTGTGCACAGGGTCACATGCAGAAGGGCTTTTCATGAACTCTGGCAAATACCAGTAAAGAAAATACATTAATCCACCCACTAAACACCCTGGCAGTTCTGGCCCTGTTGCATGTTTGAACGCTTCTTCTTGCCAGGGCAGCACTCTAATATTCTACATGTTGCCTCCACAAACAAACTGCATTTTGAAAAGTCTTAAGTGCCAAGAGCCAGAGCTGGAGGAGACAAGGATAAGGGTACCACAGAGGGGATGCATTCAGTTGCTGGGAGGCAGCCATGAGCGCTCTACTGTGAAGTGGCTTTTACTGGCATCACCTATTTGCTCTGACACCTAATGCCCTACAGAGCATAAACAGAAAATGCATCAGGAAAACAGACAGAAGACTGTTACTGGGTTTACATTTTCCAGGCCTGATTTGCAGTGAATAATTGTTTTACTGCCCAGGTAAGTGGCACTGGGATCCAGAATGAGACGTGAAATTCTTGGCAAAAGGAATTAACAGTGGCAATGATAGCGTGTGGCTTGCACTGGAAGAGGGCAGACAGGGAAAGGATGCTGAAAAAGTCATTTGTATTTTCTAAGGGCTCTGGTCCTCAGCTGCAAATTTCAACGCTGAATCCATCACTGTTTAGGCTTTTAATTAACAAAGAGCACTCTCCTGAACATATGATTTTACTCCTCATAAAAGAAGACTTATGGTGATGAATCAGGTTTTATATGAGGTAGTCAGGCAATGAAATATATCCCACTTAACCCAGGAAGACTCAGTCCCTACTACATTGGATTCTAGATGAACAAAATCCATATGCTGCACTTTATACAGACCGAGTTCTGTTCAGTCATGGTACACTTCTGTCTGCAACAACTGCAAGTTCTGCTCAAAAAATCCTACTTAAAATTTATTTCCATTGTGGCAGCATTTTGGTGTCTGAATGCAGATTGGAGAGATACAAACATCACAGTCCACCTCCATAATGTTACAGCTTTTAAAGCTGGTTACACCTCTTCAGATCCAAAGGTCTGTGGACACAATCAAGGCAAGATCCTCTTCAGTATGACCCTTGGCATTTCCTGATCCCAAATGTGATGGAGGTTTTTCCAGCCCCTGCATTTGCTATTCACTTTATTTATGTTTCAACATAGCATTTGTGGTAACCTCTGTTCTAAATCAGGCATTGTGAATATAGGGCATGTGAAGTATGGGTAGATCCAGCTGCATGGCAAAAATAATATAGATTTCTTGATGCCCACAGTAGCTCTGTGTTGCACTTTAAGTGCAAGTGCATCTTCCATCTGTTTTCTTATTTCCTATAGAGATACATCTTGAAATAATTAAAGGAAAGCAATATCTGAGCATTGCTTCTTTCTGCTGTAGTCCAAGTACTATAAGCAAATGCACCAGACTTGTTGGTCCTAACTAGTATTGTCTACATGTCCACAGTTAATGCAGTACATGTCAAAATGTTCTCAGAGAGTACAAACACTGAACAGAGAGTAGTAACTTCTGAGTTTGCTCAAATGCCTTATTAGATTCTCCTTCCAAGACCAAGGTCACTTTTCCTTATGCCTTTGATAACTGTAGAGACTGACAAGGTAGAAAGCTTCCAAAATTGACGGCCCAGAGCTTTAAAAAAACCCCAACAACTGAAATCTATAACAGTTAAAATGGTCACCGTTCAACTGGAAAGACTCAAGCTCTTCACATATCAACCACAGAAAAAGGGTCCCTTTCCCATTCCCCACACAAATCTTCATCCTTGAAGCCTGGGAGCTTCAGCTGGGATAGGGATATCAGGCTCCCCAGATCCCGTTCCCCTGCTATACGCTGCAGAAGGCCCAGGGTAAGGGATTTATCAGCTCCCTCTTGAATATTGCCCCAGCAAATCTAAAAGGACTGATTTTGTCATCTTTGGTCACTTTTTTCAGTCTGAGGCACACAAAGACTTGGGGACTTGGGACTTGCTGACAGAGCCCAACTTCTCCACAGTCTCAGGAAACATGGCCTTTGCAATCTTCTCTGAGAAACACACAGTGTGGTTCATATTTACATGAAAGTTTGGTATACATCCATTTAGTCAAGCTTGCCAACATTATGTATTCATTTGGCCCATGAGGTCTCCTCATTCATAAAAAATTAAAAACAGAGCCCTGGCTACCCAATTGCTCTAATTATTTAAAGATGTTTCTGATGTTGGCAAGGGCTACAGTACACATAATTCAGCCTCCCTACCTTTCTCAAGAACTAGACAAACACATCAATGTATTTTATATAAGCCTTACAGGACATTGGTTGTTTTATTTACCTCAGGCTCATTTCAATATAAGTTCTTTAAGCAGCTAAAGCCAAACAATGTTAACCCCCTATTTGCCTTGCCATCCCAATTATACTTCCCACTCTGTTCTCTCTGACTTTTTTTTCAGGTATAAATGGCTTTAAGAAGAATTTGCCTTAAGTGTAATAATGCATAAGTTAAGATTTTATTTAATGGCATTTGAGAAATGTGGAAAAACTGCAGAATTTGAACCCCACTTGTTAAGAGTTTACTCCAACATGTGCAACCATACTCTCTCTGAAAAGAGCCATTACTGCCAGGCTGTGTGTGACATCTTCGGGTGTTGTAAGATACTGCTCTCTGATTCCTCTGGTAGTATTTGGTTGAAAAGGCTCAAGGGTAATTGCTTGAGAGCAGAAAACCTTTTCCTTTCCATTTAAGCACCTGGATGGGATTAGATATGACATAGCTAAATGTTGTTTTGCAGAAATCATTTAATTTGTCTGTTTTCTGTCCTTGTATGTGGAGTCAGAACTGCCTTACTAAGCCCACACTGATCAGCTGAGAAGATACATTCGGAACTTTTTGTGTAATGATCACAAACCATTCAGACTTCAGTCTTGGGTCTTATATATTTCCTACTCATACCTGGAGAGAAAATGATTTCATGATTATAGAAGAGTGGCCACAGCCTCATGCCAGACCTTGGGTCCTACAAGCAAGATAAAGATCTGGTATGTGAGTAACTCTCTACTTTCCAGTGGGAAAAAATTTCCAAAAGTTTAGATTTCTCTTAAAATTGCACAGGCATATCTTGTTTTATAATATACCTGAAGAGTATTTTCTTTGCCTATGCCTGCAGCAGTGGAGCCAGAAATTCCTCCTGAGTGTTGTGGAGATGAACAGAATGGGCTGGACTGGTGCACACACCTGCTCCACAGGACCTATATGCCGGTCAACCCTTTGCACAGATCTCTTGGAAGCAATTTATGGCCTTTGAAATCACCATCCTCTGCTCTCACTTAGATTTTGACCCACTCTGTGAACCTACTACACAGTAAAACCTCTCTCTTTTCCTCTTTCAACAGAAGTTTGACCTATTTATGTGACTCACTACAAGAAGGCCAGCTATGATCAAGTCAGTAATGAACTGGGACTGAATTTGGACATGTAAGTGCAAAAAGTGCAAAACTACAGCTTTTTGTAATGGTTCCATCACAATAGGCTCTTCTCTGATCAAGAGCCATACCAGTTGGTCAGCAACAAACCCAGAACACATGAGTTTAATTGTATTTAAAAATAGGGGAGGTTTTCTCTTTTTCATTCACCTGTGCATGACTGCATGCAGAAAGAGGGAAGCATGAGGGTTCTTACGTTTTTTGTTGGCTGAAATATGTAAGTACACTAGTTATGTTATTAAAAATGCTTTATTAAAAATTGTTGAAGTCAGATTTTAATGAGGATTAGATTAAGTGCAGTGAGCTTGCCTTCAGTGAAGTCCGATTTTCAGCTGCTACCACCCAGCTGTTACCCAAAGCAATGTTCTTTAAACAAACACTGTGTACCTTGAAAATTCTGCATGACAGATGATCTCAAAGTGCAGATTTATTTAAGGGTCTTTATTTAAGGTCTATCAGCAAGTGTCTAGTCTTCCAAGTTGCTGCTACCTCTGTTTGAAAATACCAAATTTCCTTACTGAGTCTTGGCCAGCTTATCTCCTCTGTCAGAACTAACACTGCCTACATACATCATATGTATCATATATCATATCTATTTCTGCTGTTTTATCTTCCACAGTGAAGGTAATATCCGAGTAGGTCAACTAAATTTTCTTCATAAACTTAAGAATCTTCTCAACTCTCTTTGATTCTCTGGTCTTATTCACTGGCTTCTTCAGGGGACAGATAAAGGTTCTGCATTCTTTTGCTTTCAGGCTTTGTTTCAATGGATCATGATAAATGCTGCTTTAACAAACATGCAGATGAAAATACAGCACAGTAAAACTTAAAAACTACTACCACAAATACTACTAAGAGCAGGAAACCAACTGAGGTGGAGGCCTCAGACTAGAAGCAATGGTGGAAGACATGAACACATACAGATACACTTGTCCATCCCCTAAACAATCATGTTCAATAGCTTTTGTCTTCAAATTAGTAGCTTCCTGACTGCACAGCCATCTCTTTTGCAAAAAAATCTTTCCCTGTGGCAAATCCCAGCACCAAAGTAGAGCCATTCAATGTGTCTACCTCTTGTTTCTGCCCTTTGTGTTGCCAGCTCTTGGGTGGCTGGAAATTGCCTCTGTCAGGAAACAGCACAGGGAACAGCACTCAGAAATGTTGTGATAAAAAGAGACAGTCAGTACCCTCCTCAGTGTTTTGTTTTGATATTCCTCAGTTCTCCATTACAATTGATAATGAGAGGCTGAATACCCTGAATAATAACAAACCAGATAGTTTTCTTTTTCTGCCTACTCAGTGTTTCTGCTCCACAGTTCCTGGGTTGCTCATTTCCAGGATGCCAGGTTAGCTCTCAGGCAGCAATGCAGAAATGTGCCACCCAACTAGCAGTATTCTTGACCCTGAGCCAGGAGTGGAGCCAGCAAGGCTGGGAGAGTAAGGTGGGTGCAGAGTGAACAGGGCTGCACCATTGCTGTGTTTTTGGGAGCAACAAAGCTGTGTTCTCACACCACTGCATTTGAGAAAATTCCTGCCAGCACCACGCTGGCTTTTTGCCCCTGGTATAATTTACCCACAAATAAGATAATTCATCCATGGAAAATGAAAAGTGGATCTATCAGCTGTTTCTTTTGTAAAACTGCCACCCTGCAGCAACAGCAATGAAGAATAACCTGAGTCATGAGTTGTTCCTGCTTTGACACCTTGTTGACAGCGTTCCACATGCCAACAGCTACAACCCTCAGTGAGCTGATGCAGGCAGCAGAAGCTGAATCTCAGGAGGAATTTTTGCATCTACCAGTCATCCCATGTCTGGCTTCTCAGTTCCATCACTCAACACCACTCCAGCTAGTTTGATGCAGTCCTGTTGCATACTCTGCAGGTGCCTTTGCCACCCAACCGTGGTTTGGTTTGCCAGAAGCTCAGTCTTCAATTCTCTCACTTGCACTGATCAAGATTCTTTGGTAACTCACTGACCTGAGACTGTACAGCAATACAGGCAAATGAACATCTACACAGATTCCCATGGATTTCTGAAAATAAGCTGCTTGAATGGAAAGCAAGTGGCTAAAGACCAGTGAATGTCTGTGCCCAGAGATTTTTGAGAATTTCATCTGTGCCCAAAGATTTTTGATCTATCAGCATCTGCAGGTAAGTAGTTGTCATGGAGATTTCGGTCTTTCACCAGCACTGGGAAGTGGCACATAGCCACTTAGCTACCCAACCCCAGTATTTAGATATTTGTCCCCTAGTACCCATATACCTCTAAACTTGTAGTCCTAAGGTCCTGATCCTTTTGTCGCTCATTATCTGAATAATTAAACCTCACAAAGACTTATTAAAAAGATTATGATATTCTGAAATTGTTAACTTGAATTAATAAGTCTTGGGGCATGGGGGGTGGTGTTTCAGTTTTTTTCAGTAGATCTTCTAGGTAGAACTGCTAACAGATTTGCTTTCTGAAAAGGCTTCTTGCCAGTCCACCATATCCTGCTTTGCATGGACTCACCATGGCAAGCCAGAACTCCTGTATTAAGAGAATCAAATGAATTATGGATCATTATATCTTAGTAACACAGTTGGAGCTTGTTGATAAATTTTTAATATTGTACTGTTTATTAATATGATGAGTAGTTACACAGTTTCTGCAGGGACTGGAGTAGATATTTACAAGTAACAGGTAATCACCTTCCCTTTGAACTAAACACCTTTAGGGGACTGTTAAATCAGGAATTATATGTCTTTCTAATGTGTGTTTTGAAGTCAACCTCCTGTATTTATACTAGATTTTTTTTTTCCATAATGATCTTAAACAGGGTACATTCACCCATGGATGTTACCGATACACTTCTGAATACCTAGATTGATTTGCAAAATATAGTTTACTTTCTAGTATCCTGGAATAAGATACCAGCACCTTCTGTGGTAATCTCATAAGTGCTATGATCTTGATTATCTTAATACATTTTTCTTCTTAAAGTTACCCAAGAATTTTTGGAGATCTGCATACAGGTACTTTAAAAACTAGTCCTTTTGTGTATCTCATTTGGCCAGGTCACACTTAACAAGTACCAGTTTATTAGCCTTTGAGAGCATTTTATTAAATCCTCACATCCAACTTCATCAGAAAGAACCCTCATGACATACTTCTACTTCTCTGTGCCCAGACTTGCAGAGTTATTCTGTCACTAATCTTCTGTCTTCAGGGAAACTGCTGGGGGAATATGATGCTATTCACATAAGTAAAGGCATTACAGTCTCTTCAAAAGATACTTTTTCTCTTTAAACCTGATCTACATCTAACTAATCTGGTAGCTATAATCTTTAAGGCTGTGTGGTTTACTCTCATCTACTAGCTCTAGTCATTTCACTACAGTGCTGAACTGCACTAGGAGACTGAAAAAAATGAACCACAACATTAGCTGAGTAAACCTTCACTTCTCAAAAAAGAAAAACTTGACAAATCTGACAGGCTAGTGCAAAAGGAGCATAGAAATCCCTACCAAAAATATGTGGGAGGGAACATATATTTAAAACAGGACCGCCTAATTCGGCTGCTAAATCAGTGTAAGGAGCTCTGTAGTCTGTGTGTGCGGGAGGGAGAGGGAAAGACAGAGAGAGAGAGACAGAGAGGGAGAGAGGAGCAGAGGGAGGGAGCTGGGGAGAGAGAGAGCAATGTGCCTTTCACAGAGCTCGGAGCTTGATGGGAATGTTTGATTAGCTCCTCTCTGAAAGAAAAAAGGTGTCCAGGCCTCCCTCTGCTGCCTGCCTCTCCTTCTCCAGAATAATGTTGGCTGGAGTTTGGGGTACAGAAAAGCTTGGAAAAAAACCCACTTTCATACTGTGTGGAGAAAAGGAATAAAAAGTTGCACACTTCAAGGAAGGTAATTCTGATGTTGTTTTTCTGCTATATTTATTTAGGGGGGAGAGGGGGAAGTTGTGGTTTTGTCTGTTGATAATGGTTAAATATTTTCACTGCTGAGAAACTGTAGGGACATAATGTTTTATTTAGCATTCCAGCTGTGTGCTTAGGATCAAATACCTAAGAAAATGAAGACATAAATGTAGAATGAAACTGTACTTTACTCATATATACTTCATAAAGTATTTATGAAAGCATTAAGCTCCTACTGTTAAAGTGGACACATATACTCCCTGCCTGAACAGCAAGGGCTTAAATACGTGATAAAGAATGATGTATACAAGCCACACACTAATAGACATTTATTCAAGCCTTCTGTTCAAATAGTTTGTGATAGACAATGCAACTTGTTCCTCAGTTTAAAACTGTTTTGGTTTCAAGACTTTTTCACAAAGTCTTTTGATCAATAGGAAGGTGTGTGTTGTTTCATTAATAAACACTACCTGACACTGGGGAACACTAATCTCCAAGGCACAGAATGGAAAATGATGTGTGTTTCTGTGGTGTGAACTCTCTTGGAAATGGATAGATACAGATGTGTGAACAGTACAGTAGCCTCCATACATCCTTTTGTGCTGAGTGCTTGTTTTGGTGGTGAGGCTCCAAAAATGAATAGCATTGTCAAGCCTGCCACAGCCGCTCAGCTCTCTGCACAGAGATTAGAGTCTTGATAAGTTTCTTTAAAATGTGATTTCTTTCCGACCAGTACAAACATGAACCAAATGCCCCAAGCTAAGTATCAACTCTAGTTTTGTTCCTAGAGTTTATGGGAACTACACCACATTCAGAGCAAAAAGCAAAATTACACATTACAGAGGCAAATCCTTATTAGAGCACACTTTTTCCTCTAACCTCTACAAAATTTAAACAACACATCAAAACAAGAAAACACACACAGAGAAAATTGTGTTTAGATGTTTTTTAAAATACATTTTACTGAGAAAAGACAAGGAGTTGTTTATGCATATAGCTTGTTTTCCTGTATATATCCTGAACTTAAAAACACTTTGTATTTCTCTACACTCAAAGAAAATCTATGTTTTTCTGCTACCATCTTTTTCAGACTTTACTCAGTCCATTACTTGAATGACAGTCGTGACTGATCTCTTTCAGAGATGCAAAGAGAACTCAAGCAAAAGTAACTGCATTAAAACATTAATTTTCAAATACTGAGTTTGTATCTTATATTAAACAGACTTACTTTACTTGCATGTTTTATTTAATCCTTTGAGTTGCTGGGGTTGTTCTTATTGGGATGACAAAAAGAACTTTCTGTCTTTTAGTTATTCAGTACATAAAAAGTATTTTTTTTAAGAAGAAACTTTGAAAGTACTGCCACTACTGTGTTCCCACCTGTAGTAGTAATGTTATGTTCTTAACTTGGTCTTTAATTGTTCCTATCTTTACTTAATGTAAGACACTACTTTCCCTAGGGTATAATTACAGCATTTACCACTGACTGGTTGAACCAAGCAGTTTTACTAGCCTCACCAGGTTTCCTCACACATAGAATGCAAGAAAGATACTCCACTTGGATTCTCTTTTGTCTAATAAGGATGAGATTCTACAAAAGCCTTTCCTTTAGAGGAGGCATTAACAAGGTGCTCCCTTTTCACCTAGTTACTGACTTTCACAGAAGTAGTAGGAAATTAATTATTACACTCCTTTTTGTCAAAATTAATTTCTAAAAGGGCACTACCTGAGCCACAGTGTGCACTCAAAAGTTGAAAACCAGGCCAATTACTTCATGTGAAATGTCAGAATTATTTATTATTTCTGGCCATTTCTTCTTAGAAAACATTGTTAAAAACAAACCTGATGTTTATGTTACAATGGCAGCAAAAACTTGACTGTATCAGCTCTGCCTGGAGAATTTTGAAATTTTTCCTTTTCCCCTCTGAACCACAAATAAAGCTGTAGTCAGAAAACACTTTGTGCAACAGCCACAACTTCTCTAGATAAGCTGTGGCAGTGTCCCAGCACCCTCACAGTGAAGAATTTCTTCCTAATACCTAACCTAGACCTACTCTCTTTCAGTTTAAGTGTTTATAGGTAAGTCATTTAAGGCACCTGGACGAAATGAACAAGAAAAAGTGATAGCTCAGTTTACTACCTGCAATTATGACTGTATTCCTGAAAAAGAGGTGCTGTGGCACTTGTAGACCTGAACTGGGTGGAACTGGCATGGGCAGGGGCCAGAGCAGTGAGCTGTGTGTTGGCCCATTGCAATCGGCTGGGGTGGCAGTGTCTTTTCTGGGTGGGTAATGAAAAACAAAAGTCTGGAATTTCCTGGCTGTCCTGGAGGGATGTTCTGGCTCCCTGAAGCTCTGGGTACACACCAGGACTCCTCCAGCCTGCTGTAGCATCAGCTAAGGTTTAGCTTTCTCATTCAGGGCTCAGGAAGTGGACACTGAACATATAATATGTCCTTCCTTCTGAAAACCTGTCCATCATACAGATCCCATTAATCTGTGCTGAAAAACAGAAACACAGAACTGCAAATCTGATGGTTTGATGTTTGAGTTCTTCTTTTGATAAAAAAAATAATAATAATAGCGTTTATTGTACATAAAACAGGGAGAACACAGCTACAGTAGTCAAAGATCTGCCCTCCACATTTTCTCTTGTGGAGTAGATTTTTTAGTCCAGAGTCGGAGAGAGAAATAGGTGCTTAACACCTACTTAGAGCACTTCAATTCCTCTTTTGAACTTGCCGGGGCACAAGGAGTCCCCTTGTCCCAGCGCTGCCTGGGGAGCCTGCGCTAGCGCTCAGCTGGGACCTGGGACAATGCCGCCCCTGTTCTGGGCCCGGCTGTGGCACAGAGACTATAATTATCTCTCTTCTAATGACCAGCCAGGCAAGATAACAGTTTTCATGCTATGTTTAGAAAACAATGTCTTATTACAAATTGACGGTTCATTCGTCCGTAAAAGAGCCTCTCTAACAGTCCTACAGCAGCTGCCACTCGTTTGCATCCCAGCTCCTTTATTTGCTGCACATTTCCCTCTTGGAAAACTTGGGTAAATGCTGCACAGGCAGCGCAGCTTCCCGCTGCCACAGAAAGGCTCAGAAAGGTGCAGAAATGCCCAGAAAATCTGTAGCTTTAGATCTTCCTTCCACACTTTCCTATTGATCTAAAAGACTTTGTGAAAAAGTCTTGAAACCAAAACAGTTTTAGACTGAGGAACAAGTTGCACTGTCTATCACAAACTATTTGAACAGAAGGCTTGAATAAATGTCTATTAGTGTGTGGCTTGTACACATCATTCTTCATCATGTAGTTATCTGTTTAGATTGTATCTCTGTTAGTAAATTAAACTCCGTCTGTCTGTCCTGCCAGAGCCTGCATCGGCCCTGTGAACTCTCAAAGCCCCCAGCCCAAAGGGGCTGCAGGCAGCGCTGTGAGCAGGGCAGGAGTAAAACTGCTTTGTGCAGACTCGTGATAATGCCCGGTGGAAAGCAAGCTGATGCAAAAAGAGGGATGTGAAGGGACTTGTTCAGATAAAACCGGAGCATGTATTACTGACGAACTTGTCTTCCAGCACTGTGGCCCATAGACAAGTCAGGATTTACTGAAATTCTGTAGGCTCCAAAGGCATCTGTGGGGTAGCTGCACTGGGCAGCTGCGATTGCAGCTTGTGTGGCGGTAGCTGCCCTTTGCAAACACTGGGGGCTGCCAGGTTTGGGCAGTTCTGGCAGCATGGCACCCATGGGCTAGCTACCCAAGTATTTGCTCTGGGCTCTGCAAACATTCTGCATCTAACTCTGTTCAGGGGCAGCTCTACATTTAGTGCTGAGGGCTGCTACCACATCCTCTGCAGGTGCCCTGCCAACCTGCCAACAGAGCCCGTTCCCTTGTTCTACAGCCAGCTCACCCTCATATCTCTCTTGTCATCTTCTCTGTTCTCCTCTCCAGCAGGACTTAGCTGGGTTACCTCGGGCTGCCTTTCCTCTTTGGGCTCATTTTTCAGTGTCTGAGGCCTGGGAAAAAAAAAAAAAAACAACAGAAAGTGTTGATCGGAAAGAAAATTTCCCAATGGCTTGGAAGCATCAATATTTCTCATGAAAATTCATTTTAATTAACAAACAAACAAACAAAACCACCCCAAAAAAAACCCCACCAAACAAACCAAAAAACCTCCACCATCTGCAGCTTTTTCATTCCTTTTTTAAACAGAGCACCCAAATCTATACCTCATTGCCTGGAAACACATTCACATTCAGAAGAACATTTATAACCATCTCTGGTTCATTCAAATTGTTTAGGTTTAAGCAGTTCTTTACATCAGTCTTGCTGTAGTGGCTGAACTGACTTTCTAGTACACATAAAGTCCATCCCACCTTTGCTTTACCTACAGAACTTCAGAGTGCATTAAGAGGTCGATGGCACATTAAGAACACAATCTGTGTCAGTTATCCTTAATGTGTCTCATTCTACACAGCATCCCACAGACACAGATATAAAAAAGACATTCAGCTTGCACTTGCAAACTGTTGCTCAGCCTATCACCTTATAAAATATCTTTGTAAATGTAACACATGTAACACAGCAGCCAACAGCCCTTCAGCTGGCAGCTTGTTTCATATGAAAAAGCACATAATTGCCAAGTGACAGTTACGCATGTGCCAAAAATTTCGGGAAGATTCTGAATGTTCCTGTGTAGCTTCATGCAGTCCTTTAATGTCCCCACCAGGATGATCTGGGGATTCCCAACACCTTCAGGCTTGTACACAAAACTGTGGAAATTTTTACCTCTCAAAAATCACTCATTTATGGGGAAGTTTGGACACAGCCATGTCTGTGCCTCTCAATCTCCCTGCCAGGCTCCTTTAGGGACTCAGAATGCTCCATTCTTTCTTGTTTCCCCCAAATACATCATTTACCCTTCAGCCCATAGAACAGGGGTGAGACATAGAGGAAAGCTGGCAGCAGGGCTGTGTATTCTGGCTGTGGACAACTTCAGTGAGTCACAGCTACAAAAGGGTAAGTACTCCCTGACTACAGGGGTATTTTCGCAGCTGCCAGCCAGCTGAGGATGACGGGAGCCCATCCTGCTTGCCTTGGTGGGAGCCCATCCTTCTCACCTCTTTTGCAATGCATCTTCAACACTTGAAAAATTTGTTCTTCTGGGCTTGGTTGAAGAAGTTTTAGGACATGAAGCACAGGAAGAAAAAGGCTGTTTGGAAGTGAGGCTACATGGGAAGGAGAGGAGTGTCCAGATGAGGGGGGTGAGAAGTTAGAGAAGTTTAGAGTAGTTTCAACAGAGCAACTTCATACAAATGTTATAAGGGCATATACTGACATTGCATAAGTCATAAAAGCCTACTAAAACCCTCTTTTGGAGAAAGCCTTTCCACCAAATTGCATCTCAAAATATGTGGTAAGTTGGGACAGAAGCTCTGTCTTTCGTGATCTACATCTTCTATTCTTGTTGGAGAAATCTGTATGTAGAAAGAAATACATAGGTTAGGCAATAATTAGATTTGAAGTAGAAACTCCTATGGTAATCTCCTAAAGCCAAAATTCAAAATTCCTGAGCATGGAAGTGGATTATGCAATACTAAGGACTGTAGGCTTCATTTGTTTTCAAAATAAAAGACCACAAATTACAAGTTCCTGCTCCCAGGCCATGCGGTTTCCCTTTTTTATCTTGGTCTCTCAGATACAGAATCCTGTGATCCATCTCTATGCAAAACCAGCAGGTTTTTAATACTCTAGTATGCAAAATTAGTAGAACAGTGTTAGCCTGGTTCTGAGACACATTTCTCAGCAATTTCTGGCTGCATCTACACTGTCACTGTATCCAGGACTGGGCTCTGAAGGTCACTTTCTCTGACACCAGATTTTCTAACTCTTCATTTCCCTTCCAGGGCACTCAGATACTGAGGAATGTAGTTTTGGAAGCTTAGATATTCCTCATGTCTGCATGACCCATATGTTAGAGATACCACTCCTGCCAGTTGCCAAAGGTTGCCAACACACATGCCATAAGGCTGCACAGCTTGGCCCTTGCTGTGTCCTGTCTCTCACCAGCAGCTCCACCAACAGCATGTCTTCAGGAAACCAGCACAACCCATAATAGCCTCATTTATAATGCTGGCACTCATTCAAATCCATAGCTCGCTTTCCTCCCAAAAGCAGCTTGGAGCCCTGAGATGTCTTCTTCAGTCATGAAAAAATTTAAATGCTACTCACAGAGCCACGGTTTTCAAACTGCTCCCCAGAAGGGCCTCATCAGGTGGGAGATGTCAGCCTGAGTGCACCTCTTAGGTGGGTTGCAGAGCAGCACCAGCTGGGGGGGATACAGCTGGAACCGCCTGTAGCAAAGCCAAAGCAGCAATGACCACTGCCTTGGGAGGGTCGTGGGCAGGGCGGCCATGCAGAACATCCTGGGATGTGGGGTGGGACATCCTGGCCCTCAGCAGCTGACCCTGCAAGGAGGCAAGGGAATTGGAGGTCCTAACAAAGCAGCAGTAGAAGACCAAGGGACAGAAGGTAGTTTGGGGTTGTTTTCTCATTTGCCTTTGAGAAAAGGGAACAGTCTCCCTTGTTGCACAGGTTGGTTTTGTCTAAACTAAAGGTATCAGAAAGATATTTAACTGAGAAGGCTTGGAGAAAAATATAAAAGTAATGCAGTGAGGAAGAAATAATATTTTTTAAAAGTACAAAATATATAAAGGAAAATGTTATGCAGTGCAAGGAGCATGAGACTATAATTTTTAAGAGACTGCAAAATTGAAATTAATTTCTTAACTTCAGTTTACTAGTTTCTGCCACAGAAGTGAATTTCACCTTAGCTTTACGAAATGCTTTCTACATCATTCCCGTGCTTCCTGATTTGTTGAAGACCTTTTGTGAAAGATGCTTTCTTAATCAAGTTGTCATTACTAGACATAAATTAATTTCATCACTTCCTGCCTTACTTCCAACAAGTGCCACATGCCAGGGTAGTTCCAGATTTTTCTTTTTTTTATCTACTAATGTTTTCTGCATCCTTACCCAGCCAGTCCTTGGCTTTGGCATGGGACATCATTAGTAATACAACTTGTAGGAGACCCTGGATCGATGAAAGTTTTCTGTGAGCTGTTGTATAAATTTACTAGCATGCTTAAGGATGAGTTTGGCTTTTGATCTAGACATATAATTCACTTTTCTAGTAAAGGGTTATGTGTAGCTTTAAGCAGAGAGTAAACATCCTACAGGTTCTCTAAATTTCTGCTTCTAAGTTTCCATCTAAAAAAATGTTGTTTTGTTTGAACATGCTACAGAAATTCCAAAACCATCCCCAGGGTTATGTGCAGTTTTTTCAGTGCCTTTAACAGAAATTCTTTCCTTTTAGACTAAATATGTACCTTCAGGGGAATTCTGACACATGACACTAATTCTTAGTTTGCAGGCAGCACAATAGCATGGTTACTCAGTGCTTTTTATTGTGCATCCAATCTGAGAAATCATGTATTGCACTTTAAAAAGTCACTTTGTTGTTTAAACCATTTTTTTGAAATAGAAAACGGCACATTTTCTAAAAAAAAAAAAAAAAAAAAAAAAAAGAAAAGGAAAGAAATGTGGCCATAAATCTCATGCTACAAAGCTAGCACAGCCCTCTGGCACTGCTGAATTGCAAGTACTTTCCTCTGCCTTCTGTTTCTTGGGAAAATGGCAGTGCTGGAGATTGATGGCACCTGACTGGGGTCTGAATGATGTTAAGCAGAAGTAATAATCAGATTAGAAAAAGTTTGCCTGAGAGTGAGGGGGGCAGATATGTGACCAGACAAAAGCCATGATGGGGAGGAGAACAGAGGGAGGAAGCTTTCTGGACAGGGATTCACAGGATTAAGCTAACAGCATTTCCCAATGAGGCGTGAAAGCTGTGCATCAAAATGAAAAATAATGCATAATACATTAGCAGAAACCAGGAAAGTACAGTGTAATGGCCCCCAATGAAATCATCATCCAGACAGTCCAAATTATATTTTCTCTGTGGGTGGGTGACATATTCTAAATGTATCTCTTCCTTTGCGGGAAGGGGCAGGTCAGAGCAACATAATTGATGGCTTTCTTGCTGAGACAGATGAAAATGTATAATCATTGCAGTTTTATTTAAGCTCTGAGAAAGGTCTGGCAAGTTAAGTCACACTGTAGTCTTAAATAAATTACTTTCCTCTGAAAGAGCTCTGTGGAAAGTAGAGAAGTCATCATCGCTGTTACTTCCACCTTATGTTTTAATTTCAGGGCATTGCATGAACACAAAATGAGTACTGTTTGCATGTTTCTATTTGTCTCTAAGTTTCTGGGTATATCATCTCTTCATTATACCCACCTGAATGAGAGCTATTTTGATCTAAATTCCTCTTGCCAACCTGCATATAAACATTTGTTCAACCACCTCAGAAAAAAATTACTCCTGTGCCCAAGGTGCAACTTAGGCAGAATTCAGACCTCTGAATCCACCCATACCTCAATGACTTGAGAGTGACTTGACAGGCACCCTGCAAGAGGTACTGGCTACCAGCAGTCCCCACAGCCCTCTTGTGAGTCAGAAACCTCACAAAGCAGAGGAGGCACCATTTAAAACATTATGTGGCAGCCACAACAACCAAAGTCTTGTAATAAGAAGCAAGTGGTGAGAACCCTTCTTCAGGGATAACTGTCCATGGCCTCAGAGAATTTGGACCCATGTTTTTCTCATCACAGAAGAAGTACCCCATCATCAGACTTCAGGGCACAAAAGGTTGGGAGACCCCAATTTTCTGTGACAGAGAAGGACCCATGTGCAACCACTAATTACAAACATGGGGTCAGAAAGAAAGCAAGGGAGGAGGAGACCGCCTTGCCACTTGCCTGGGAGGAGAGCCAGAGCCTCCCTGCCTCCTCTTCCCCACCTGAATGTGCAAGCCATGGGGCTGCAGCAAGCAGTGGCTGCCCTGGAGGTGGGGGACCACCACTGCCCAGGTGTGGGACTCACATGGCTTTGGAAAGTATCTGGCAAATAGGCTGTGGCTACTGTGTCTTGGAGGCAAAGGAGTATAGTAATGCAAAGACTCTTCAAGGTCTTCTTCAAAGAACAAGCTGTCCCCAGGCTCAGACACTCCTTTAGTCATGGTTCCTTTGTTCATTTTACTAGACACACAACTGCTGAATGTGTAAAACAATGCTTCTTACAACCCCTCCAACACAAGGGAGCACCTGCAGCCACAGATGCCTGGGTTTCCTTGTTGGCTTTCTGAGACACAGGGTAATTAAGCAGAGTGTTCTAGAGTGCTCTGGAGCTCAGGAAGCATTTTGGGGCTCTTCCATATAAGAAAGAAAACAGGTGAGCATTCACTCACCTTTTCTTATAGCAACAGGTGATGAAGTCTATGATATTTTTAAATTCCTGGATGCACATATTCTATTTCATACCAGACAAAGATTAAAGTCTACCCTCCCATGCAGATAAGTTCACCTCACAAAATAGCATCTTGGATCTTACATTTTGTGACTTGGCCTGGTATACTTACAGGTCAATCTAAGTCTCCAAAACAAGCTATAGCAATCAATTCAACCTTTTTGTCTCAGCAAACCTCAGTACCTCCAGTTTTTTTAAGAAACAGCCACTTAGATACTTTTTGTTATGTACAGACTTTCAGAGCAATGCAATGCACTGAGGGTACATAACTTCTGACAAGAAAGGAGGTGAAACTAAATCATATGTGGCAAGTGCTAGTCATATCACCTGGTGTGCTCCAAAACAAACAGTTCTTGCACTACCAAACTAGGTACAATACCATGGGTGCAGAGTATGAGCATCAAACAAAGAAAGGGTTACATAATAATAAAAATAAAATCTATTAAAAAAAAAAAAGAAACCTAAATTGTTTTCCTCTAGAAGATGATGATCAGCTCTTGTTTATCTGAATCAGTTTACTCACACCTACACCAAGACCACTTGATTTTCCCCATAAAGGGCACATATTTAACTCAACCCACAGTGCTTTGAGATCCTGCTGCTAACTCCATGCTACTTGTTCAAATAGATTTCAGACAAAGTCCACTTCTGTTTTTCTTTATGGTGCCAGAGTTGCTGAGATATTAGAACTCCTTGAAAAGGGAAACAATAACGCACACTATTGTGGTACAAAGAGAGTATACAAATTAATTTCTGTGGCACAGGAGATTACAGGAGATAAACTGCTTACTCCTGCAGAGGCAAAGCACATGGCACTAGCAAAGAATTTCATCTTGCACGTGGAACGGACAGCAGTGCCTGACACCAAAAATCAGGGACTTAAAATCTGCACTTCCTCCAGAAAATGTTGCAGTTTGCCATACAGTGACAGTTATGTGCATTTAAACCATCTGTTTGTTGGTAGTGTGTAGCAGCTCTCTCAGATCTTTATAAAAGTCAAATTGCTAATAAAAGGTCAGTATAAAAATCTTACTTTATACAGAGAAAAAATAGCTTGTTAATTCTCTCTCTTCACTAACATTCAAGAGTTTTCAAATGTTTGTGGTCAGGAAAAAGTAACCAACATTTTTTCAAATAAGGCTTTGATTTTAAAAGGTAAAATATCAGCTGCATTGGGAAACACTGAAGGAGATACTCCTTACATTTGTACTTAGCAGGAATTGAAGCACATATTAATGAAATGCCTATGAAATAGCTTCTCTGGCATAAAGGTAATTTCTGTTATGACAGTCTGAAAGATTCAGATGGGAAAATGTACTCTGATAAACAGAGATCCAACATACAGTTTAAGAGATTTAATAGTGTGTAGTCACTACTTCCCAGTTCTGACTAGGACTGTAAATACTGCCTTAATAGAAATCTGATTAAGAGAAATCTCAGCAAAACTTATGCTCCAGACTAATACAAAGTATAAACTTTTCATTTTGTTTGATTGGCATCTATTCACTTTGTAAAGGAACAAAGAAAGTACAGCTTTGCATTTAATAGCAAAGTATCATTCTTGATCTACAGATAAAACATCCCCAAACTTCTCAGAGGATCTACACAGACTAAAGTTTCTTGTAAGCATGGATTGGAGCCCTGCTTTCCCTTCCCTTCCCTTCCCAGAGAAACAAAAACACCCACTGCTTTTTTCCAAGCTGTTGCTCCCTTTACCAGCCTGAAGGAGCAGATGCCATGCTAGTGCACAGTACAGGAGATCTCACACAGCTTAAATCAGGTGACACCCTAGGCCCCAAATACAATGAATGCACACAGACTTCCCACTGCAGAAAGCCTGGAGCTTCTATGCCTGATACTTAATAGTCAGCAATGTAAATCCTCCTGTACATTTCCCCATGTGACAGCTCAAGGTCTGAAGGCCAGGACCACCCCTTGGAGTATTGTCACCAGGGCTGTGTCACAGGATATTCTGTGCATTTCTCCTGATATGCCAGTGCCTAAAGTGGAGATTAATATAGTGGCAAAAACAAGTTTCTTTACTATTATACTTTATTTCCATGAGAATACTGGCACCAAAGATACAGAGTCCACAATAAGATGTTTTTCTGTCTAGCTGTGACAACAAAACTGTTAAGTAAATCTAACAACCTTGTCTAAGTGCTTCTAGTACCTTTCTTACTGATAAACATCTGTTACTGTAGGTTAAAGCATATGCTGAACCCTGCTGAACCCCTGACAGGCTTTAAGTCTTAAATCCTTTTCGATTTATTGGCTTCTTTCCACTGTGAATTCATAATCATTTAGGAACAAAAGCCTACTTTCTGCTGCCTTGAAGAGAAATGCCCACCAGCCAAACAGGCAAAGAATACAACTGCAGTCAAGCCTAGGGTCCTGCTACCCAAGAGGACTGGGGTGGCTCCTGGAGTGGCTGGCCATGCCCCAGGGAAAGTAGGGCTGGGGGACAGCAGGGCCTTCAGGAAGGAGTGGGAAGTCCTGTGCAGCCCTAGTGATACAGGTGGCTGCACGTTTCGTAAGACAGGAAAAGTGAGGCAGTGTTGGACTCTCCCCACACAACACACAGCAGCCCACCATGAAGCCAGATTTTACATGGGTGCTTTACCATCTCAGACCTCTTCCACTCTAATTAAACTGGTGATGAAAAGCATCTCAGCACCAATACAAATACTGTCAGGAAAAATTCACACAGATCTCTTCGACTTTAAATAAAAATGCCAATGCTGAATTTATTCAGCATTGGCATTCCCAATATTCCCAAATGTTGGGAAGGCTCATATTAAGATGTCTTTTGCAAAGTCTAAGCCAGTGTCAGTACAATCTTTTATGGTGCATGGTAGCTCTGCAAATGAATTGCAGCTCTTATTCTGCCTCTTCTTTTTCTGTGATTGACCTAAAGTGAAAATTAATTGAAGGGGAGCAATTGTTTTATACCTCTGATGTGTTAGTGTGTTGAAACATAAAAGGGAGGAGAAAAGCATCTGAGCTCAGTTTCTCTGAGCACTCTTCTACATCTTGGTGCTATTTCTTCTAACAGCTTCACAGTGGAAATATACTTCACTAAATGCTTAAAATGGCTTTTTCTACAGAAGATGAGCAACTCTTTTTAATAGAAACTAACCATGAGAGCAGAATATCACCACTTAACTGCTCTTGCTGATATGACTTGTACAGCCTGGGGTCATCCCCACTACACTGCCTCTCATTTTTCAGAAAGACACAGTGACTGTGTTGAGCCACTTTCCATATCCCCCAGATTCAATTCAGTGACTTCTGAGAAATCTCTGCCACTTTCAGCTTTAGCAGCCTAGCAGGAAACTTCTTCAGGGAGATCACCAAGAAAAGACATTGTGCTATTAGGAAGTGACACTTCCTAATAAGGACTCGGTGTGTCCTGGCACTTGAAGTTCTCCAACTGTAGCACAGAAGTAAAAATCAGAGGTGGATCTGCTCTATGTAAAAAGAGATATAAATTATGTAGACCCAGAACTGACTGAACTCAGTTTAGATTAGCATGCTATTTTAGTCATCCTCACTCATAACATGTGGCTTGCTTGAAAAAGAAAAGCAATTAAACTAAAAATATGGGAATATTTTATATGAAGGCAGAATGCAGATTTTTTTTTCTCTTACTCTCCTTATCTTGTCTTGTTCTTTAAACTTCTTTCTGAGGTTACTAAAGCCCTGCTTTTGAGTATATGAATTGCCATATGAAATCAGATTAAATCTGCCATTTTTCCAGGAGGCAGATATCTTGCTTTCCCTGGTCATACACAGCTTTAACATTCTTATTTAACATTCATATTTTCTTTCTGAATAGCTAGTTCTTTTTTTTTTTTTTTAACAAGTCTTTCCACTTGTAAGCATGTAATAAATTTCTCTGAAGATCAAGTTCATTTTGATCCTTGAGACTCTCTCTGTTCAACAGACAAATATATTCTCCTTTTCAGACTTTTTGCTCTATTTGTCAAACATTATGTAGTACTTTAATGACTATGATTAACTATGAGTGCCCAACACAGGATTCCCTCAATAATCATGAGTTACTAGCAAAAGCAGCAGGTGATGCTCAGGTGGGGCTGAGAGGGGTTATCACTGATAAGTTTGAATTCTTGTAGCCTGGCCAAGAGCTTCAGGGATGGCAGAGGTCATTAACCATGTATGCAGACCCAGAAAAAAATGTTTTCCAGATGTTCTTACAGAATCTTCTTAATCTCAGGTGCTCACATCCTCAGAATCCTCACACATCCTCAGAAATGGAAAGAAACCAGTAATTTGGCTCACAATTGATGGAACAATTGCAAAATACTTCACACATCTTTCAGGAGTAAATGGATTTGTTTGTGTTCCCCATATCTATGTGAAATTACCTGATGTGCTTTGATGTGCAGAAAACATGATTCTTTGATTATTTCTCAGAAGAGCAGTGAACAGATTTGAATAGATGTCAGAACATGTCCATGTCCATCATGGGCTCTCCTGACACTGGCTTCTGAAATAAGTATGTGAAATTTTGGTTTCTGGAGCAAAAGACAAATTTTGGAGAGAAATAAAAATTAGTCCATGGGAGTGTGATAGCCCAAATACCACCTCCTCTGGGGATATCAGTTGTTCTAAAAAGTATGATAAGAGGATGCAGTATGTGAGGACTGTGAAAAGGTGAAGAAGAGCACACTGTCCCTCTGCCCCCACCATTCCACTGTCATTCCAGTGTCATCTGCAATACCTCCAAATGCAGCCTGATGTACTCTTCTTTTCTTTTTCAGTGCTCCTTAGCAACACATCCAGATTTTGCTTTACTCACCATGAAGGCCACAGTTGTTGCAACCTTCTTTGGTAAGTACAGTTGATGTGCTGCAATTAGTAGTTTATGGGTTTGTACTCTCCCATCCTGGATGCCCAGTGGCTACTGACTAATTCTCTTCCCTTTGGACTCCATGGCTGATGAAGCTCTCAGTGGCAGGTGTAAGCCTTGGCACAGCTTTTCAGAAACACAATACACAAACTTCTTGATTTTGGCATAGAAAAAATATTAATTACTTGCAGAGATCTCCAAGTATATGACCAGTTACATGCAGTCCATATCAGGTGGGCCTGAAAAATGTCTGTAATGTAAGGATTCTTTCTAAAGAAAAATCAGCTATTTCAATTTTCCCTGTTCCTGTTCTTTCCATGAACAAGATGGTAACAAAAGGTTATAAATATGTCTTATTTTCTTCTCCTTGGCGGTCAGACAGGATCTCACTTTTTGGGAACATGTAGAAACTCCAGAACTTGCAATTCATCTTACATGAACACTCTGGTTGTGATATTCCCAGGCAATATTCCCTCTAGCTGTTATCTTCAAGTCTGTCAGGGCAGTTGTTCTTAGTTCAAATTACAGCAGTCTATGTAGTTCTTCTACAGAAATTACCAGATTACTTTCCCCATATTAGATTACACTGCAACATTCCAAGTAGTTGAGATATTGCACTTTGTTTTCTACTCATGCATTCATTTTTTTTTTTTTAATTAACTACAATTTTGCCATGGTTACACAACTGTACTGGTGACAAAAGGCCCAAATACTGCACCTATGCACTGTCACTTCAGACAGTGTGAGACTGCTTTAACTTTTGAGCAAGTTCTAGGTAGTTAAGTCTACAAACTCTCTGCAATCAGTCTAGGGGGAGAAAAGCATAAAAGAAGGAAATTACTTCTGTTGCATATTCCAGTAAGATTAGTTTAAGGATGGATAAAAGGATCAGCTGACACATCATAGAGAGTTTGAATTCCCTTTGAAAGCTCAGAGAAGGGAAAGGTGGATAGGAAAGTCAAGATATTTGTAATGAAGTTAGCAATTACCCATGATACAGTGCTTATAAAATAAGCAGAGAGAATAGAGATTTTGTATGTCATCACTTAGCAAGTAAACATAACATGGTAACCTACATGCATATATTGGGATATAACTTTTAATGTAACGTGTAAATATGTCTCTTACACTTTTCAAATCATAATCCTGCTTACTGAAGAAAATGAGTGCCCTTGCTGGGACATGCCACCCTAGAACCTCACACAGTCTGTAATGCTGCCCAGTATCCCACACCTGCTGCCACCAGTGAGTGAAATGTCACAACACAAAATTACAGAATAACCTTCCCAAATGGTTATTAAGAAGAATCTTTGGCTCCTGAAATTCCTAGTTGCTTTATGCACAGAGCATATTGTTTCATTAGCATCCCTATCACACTAATTACAAAGAGTTCCCACTGCTTGTGGAAATATTTTTGTGGTTTTCTGGACCACATGGACTCCATGGCATCTTTAGATAGTGAGTTCCATAGATGAATGTGTGAACTGAACTGATCTTTAATCCCCTTCAGAGAACTTCCCCACTGCAGATGTCATCTTGACTGCAAAGTTAACCATCAAGTAGAAACCTAGATGAGACTGAGAATATTCCTATTTCAGGTTTCCAACCTGTTGATTAAAATTTAAGAAATCTCATGCAGAGAAGCTTGTGGTTGATAACTCACAAGCTGATGTTGATAACCCACCTTTTTCCTGATACTATGTTTATTTGTTCTAGGTGTGTTTCTTACATGTACATACACAGCCAAGGAAGCCACAAAGAAGGCAAAAAAGGCTAAGCTATGTAAGTGGTCTCAGTGGAATTTTTGGTTGTTTTACAGCAGACATGTCCAGTGCATAAGAAAGGTGCAAAGTAAGATTATATTCTGGTAACTCTTCTCAACTGTCTAGAGTCAATGGCATTCTATATTAGCTAAAAGATTCTTTTATTGTAAACAAATCACTGAGTAAAATGTGTGCTACTTAACATTTGTAAAGGGAAAATTTTGTAATTCACTACTAAAATGTGTCTTCATAAGTCATTAGGTACCACACAAGGACCAAAGCAAGCACTAAGGTTTTCAGAGAGAGAGAGAGAGACATAAATATGTGAAATGGACCAGCTGTAACACAGGGCACATGTAGCTGATTAGTGTAAGACAAGTGATGCATTTTGTGTACTAGGATGTGTAACTTTCAGCTATTCTGCTGCAGGAGCATTTCTGTGCACAGATTATTTTGCTCGTGTAGCTGCCAAACAAGCCTGCTGCAAGGTTGTAAAAGCACATTTAAATCCCTTGTTCAAAGTAAAAGTTTTAAAAATTAAATTAAAACACAAAGTTTTAAAAATTAAGGGCAAGATAATGGGCTGTGAGTTCAGCCTGACATAAAGAGAAAACAGAGCTACATAAGCACAGTGGGAGGCTTGGGAAGCATCCCCACCCCCTCCTTCCCACATGTTAACCACCGTCTGGGTGACTACAATTCCTTCTCTCTCCAGCGAAGTGTCATAACAGGTATTTCCCTCAGAGAAGCAAACACTGAAGGTCAGAAAAACCCACAGGCTTCTTTATTCCATCCTTAGTTACTGCCACATCCCTTGGTATAGGGGTTATTATGTGTTATGTTGTAGATGGAGAAGACACAGATGTCTTGCATCTCAAAGCCATTGAGACTCAGCCATGAAAGAATTGAATCTAACACCAAGATTTTGCACTCACAGATGTACCCCAGATTGATTGTGATGTCAAGGCGGGGAAGATAATCAATCCAGAATTCATTGCAAAATGCCCTCCTGGATGTCAAGATGTAAAATACCGTGTTTATGGCACAGACATTTATGCTTCTTTCTCCAGCGTCTGCAATGCTGCAATTCACAGGTGAGTGAATTGAAATGAGTGAGGCACTCAGACAAAACTGTCATTTCAGTGCAGGGAACTTCTGACTTTTCAAATTCTTTAGGGCTCCCACTTCCTTGTAGGGTTGATTGCAGGCTGCTGTAGAAAACCTGAGAGAAAGTCCTTGTGTGATGGAATGGATCCATCCTCATAAAGTGCTGTCAATCCTGTATTCCTATAGAAATTAGTTGTGTTTGAAGAAGTTTCTCAGCCTTTGGAGAAGTGTCTTGAGGTTTCCAGATCTCTCATTCACGCATAACAAATTACTATTGTACTATTATTATTCAAGTGGAAGATAGAGATGGAGCTGCTACTATTAATAAATCTTCAGAAAAAAATAGGCATATCACTAGTGATGAATACATATGACTCTCATACTTCTGGGATTGGTTTGGTTCTCTGGGTTTGAATTTAATTGTCTTTGACATCAAAGACTGAGTAATATACTTTCCTGCTACATAAAAGGATACTGCACAAGGAAATGAGTAACATAAATTTTGTAGCAAAAGTTTTTCAGAATTTTATTAGCCAAGTAAAAAATGTGCATAACATTCTAACAGAGAATAACTGCACTACCAAAACACACTGCAGCTGGAGATGGGATGCACAGGCAGGATATATCAAAATACGCAGCAAGTTCTAAAGCCTGATTGACAGCTTGACTTAGTTTGGAGATATTTGAGCTATTGCTGTGCTTTCGGGCTGTGAAATACCTGGGATCTCGGGTACAGTGAAGGCTTTGGGACTCCCCCCCCTTGCCTATGCGCTGCTCAGGCTCAGTGAGGCGCCTGTGTGCGCGCAGGGCTGCCGCCTCCTGGCGCTGGGGAGATGCCTCCAGCCGCCAATTGCTCCCTCCCATCCCAGTGCACAATGGAAACTGCCTCGGCACCCAGAATTAGTCCCAAAGGGAAGATTTAAAACACCGGCAGCAATGCTGCAATCTCCCTGCAGCCTGGTCGGCTGTATTATTACAGTGAGGGTTTCAGTTTTTCTCATCTGCCAGCTGGTTTTGGCTTTGTTAGCTTAGTGTTGCAATTCCATCAACGGTGAATTTCTTCTCCATACATTTATTTTAACAGTAGCTTGTCACAATTACCAGAGCAAAATACACCTCTGACATACTCTTCGATCCTGTTTGCTGCCCCGTACTTATTTTCCCACCTGGTCATTACTGCCAGCCCTACAACTCCCCTACAGCTGCAGTTGTTTCCTGGTTGACTTGCTGTCCTAGTGATGCCAGAGCAGACTGCACACACTGAAGGTTTTCTGTTTGTCTGTTTTATCTGTTTAACACACATGTTACAGCGTGTGTTAAACACCGTTTGATGTGCACCACACCTGCACTCTGCCAGATTTTCTGCATTTTCCAGCAATATTGTGTCCAGTTTACTCCAGGCTGAGGTCAGAAATGTGCTTGGATTTTTGCAGAAAACACATACCGAGACTCAAAGAAAACACATTCTGTCACGTGCTTGGCCTGAAAACTCCCTTGAGAACCTCTTCCTGTATCTTCAGTCATTCAATCAAGCTTGCAGGAATTGTAAGAAAGGCAGTAGCTTTTTCCTGTGTGCAACTAGGTCAAGCTTAAACAGAGGACCAGCGAATCAGTGGGAAGAGCAAACAGATCCTGACAGCACTTTGCAACAAACTGCTTTTCTTTATGTGGAAGGAGCACAAATATTTCTTAGCAGCAGGCTTAGTAGTAACATCACAGCCCCACCACCACCCCTGGTGTAAAGGTAAAAGGAATCACTTCATACCTCTTGAATCGTAGAAGGGTTTTGAAGGTCTTTGTGGAATTTCTGCCCTCAGACCTATGTTTCCTCCTTGCAGCGGTATAATTGACAACACAGGTGGGAAGGTTCTCGTCCAGAAGGTCGCCGGGCATTCCGGTTACCGTGGGAGCTTCTCCAATGGTGTCCGGTCCCTGTCACTGCCACGCTGGCGGGAGTCCTTCCTCGTGTCAGGTACCATCCTGGGGTGGGGCACTCCACCCCTGCTCCCCACCGCTGATTGCTTGTGGGAATCCAGGGCTTCCCTCTGGCTGCCCTGGAAGGTCTGGAACCCTGGCAGGGGGTCAGGAACCCCCCTGTACAGAGCCCCCAGAGACACTGTCTCTGATCTCTGTCCATGGAAAAGAGTTTTCAATCTTACAAGCTCTGAGTGTTTGATATAAGTAATAATTAAGTGTGCCATGGGTGCAACAGTAAAATTTTAGGATTCTAGATTAGGGGTCCAAAGGGGACAAGATGGAGGAAACTGGGTGTGTCTTGTCCTTTTTCTCCTTCTTCATGCCCTCCATGTTTCACTGTAGTGTTGGCATTTTTCTATTGGTTTAGGCTGGGGACACCCTGTTCAACGTAGGTGACAGATATTGGCACATTATTGTAAATATAGCACAGGGAGTTTCTGGTATATAATGTTTGTAACATCCCACTGAGGGGCAGAGCCCCACATGCTGCCCTGCAGGACAGACCTGCGGCAGGGCAGCAGAACATGTTAGAGATAAACAGAATAAACAACCTTGAAAACCAGCACAGACGAATTATGGCTTCTTCTTTGGCAACGGGGCAGAAAGACAGAGACTTTCTACAATCTCGGAATCATCAATACCTCAGATTCTGACAGCTGAGCAGCAGTGGGCAGAGGGGGAAGCAGCCTCTCATGTCACACACCTGGTTATCACCACAGGCCCACCCCACCTAGCTTTGGTAGGAACAGTGCATTTGGGACACTTCTTGTTCTGGGCTTCCCCTGCAGCCTGCAAAGAGACCTGCACCCTGCTAGGGATGTGCCCAGTGCAGGGGGTGATGGCTGCCCTAGACTGAGCCTTGCAAGGCACCTAACTCCAACTATTGATGCATAAAATCTACTGCTCTTCACCCTGGAAAGCAGTGCTGTTGAGGAAACTGAAAGGCCTCTTGGCCATTTGAAACATCCTCACCCTGCACCTGAATTTTTATCTCCTGAAATGACTTCAGACTTATGTCAAACCCCATATAGCCCTACTGTATGCATACAAACACTATATTAAGCCATTTGACTGGTGCATCCCAAGTATGTCAGGAACTCTCTCCACCTCTGTTAGCCAAATAGTTTTGATATCTAATCACTGCAGGTAAAGCCATCTTAATTTAATGCTCATTCATTTTTCCTCCCCATAGTATAGATAGGAACTCACTTGCATTTATCAACTAAATTCACAAATTTTTTTTTATTTTTTCCAATTAGACCCTCTTTACACCAGATTCAGATTATCTTAAAAAACCTACTTGCACTCACTCTACCTTTGTGAAAGAGGTTTTACTTGACTTTGCTTTACATAAAAATTCTAAATCTAACTTCTTGATACAGTTCTTGCCAGTCTGCACTGTTGGAGGTTTAAGATAGGTACAACCAACTGATGTTAATTAACTGCATCATTCCTAGAAAAATCAACAGCTCAAACAACTGAAGAGCTACTAAAAAGAATGTTCTGTTTGTGTGAAAATCTGTGGACAGCAAAAGAGGTCTCAGAAACTGACCAAAACAAACTGTCATCTTAATTTTGCATTCATGTATTTGGATGCACTTTTTCACAGTAGTCTGCCATGGGTATACCATATTATGAGAAGGATTTCTTTTGGATGAATAGGAATTTCCTGGAATAGCTGAATGGCTACTTGTACTTGTTGCAGTTTTTTTTCTCCAGCAGACAGCACATTGTAATTCTGGTGCATAAGTGGGAAATAGGATTTTTTTTTTTACCTCAGCAGCTGCTCAGTTGTCATCCTGTAAAACTGTAGAAATTCTTCCATGAAAATGTAGGAATTTTTTATTTATGATAATAAGTCTTTATTCTTAATTAATGAGACACTATAAAAGAAGATACAAGAGAAAGTTACAAGAGCATATCAAAGATTATGAGAAACCTGTGTATGTGTAGGCATGATGAGATTTGTCCCTTGTGCACACTGAGTGCTCTCACTCATGACAGTAGAACTCTTAATTTATAAACTACCTTAAATGTAAATCTGACATATCATATAACATACATACTGTATTTTATATATGAACAGGAAGAAAACTTTCACTATACCTACTGAAAATGTGAGAAATTTAGAATTTTAGAGAAATTTAGAATAGTAAAATGAGGAAGGCTGTGCTACTCATCTCAGCAGCCTGAGGCTGAATGCATACAGATCTCCTTCTCAGAAACAGAGCAGCTGGGGATGGATTTTTTATGATCATGAGTCATAAAAAGCCAGAACTGCATAAAGCATTGCCCAATAAAAATATAAAGTCACCTAAAGCATTAATTTCAGGATGGCTTTAGAGCTTTAGAACTGAGTCCCCTATTCTCCAGCTGAATTCTCTTTCATCAGACCAGACCTATGTGCAATACTGTACCCTGGAAAGGTGCCAACAGCTTAATCCTAGTTAGGATATTGTCACCGAGTTTGTGATGTTTAAATTGTGAATGAGCATCCACACAAAAGAGCACAGATGAGGAATCCTTGGGGGACCCAGGGTATAAAGTGGCATGATTTAGGGGCAGTGGAGAAAGAGGTCTGTCCTCTTTGATTAAAGCAGCTAGCACACCAGGAGGTATGCAAACGCTTTGGTATTCACTTTCAAGCACTGAAATGCCTTGGCACTCAGCTGAATGACTCCATTCAGTTTAGTGGCAGTTTTGCAGCTAGTGGGTTAAGAAAATAGTCCTGAACTTCTGGGTTTGCTAGTCACAAATAAGTGTGAGAGGGTGAACAGCCACTGAACTATAGCAGCCACCATACCATAGCTTGTATTTCAATGGCCAAAGCTGATGTTTTCAGCCCACATGAAAACACATTTTTAAGTATGTTAAGCAAACTCCAACCTAGATGTAACTTTTTCTCAATAGTGAAAAAGAGATATTACAATTGCCCTAGAGAGCAGGGCCACATTCAGGTCAGGCCTTAGGCCTACCTCTTGGTCACATATAGGATGCAAATTGCTGATGACCAAAAATCCCAGAATCCTCCCCCCCCCAGCTGGTGTATTTTCACAGCAGCAGGTTTCAGGTTTGCATCAGAAATCAGTTTAGCACAGAAATATAACAAATTAAGATCAGATTATCATACTATTGCTGCATCCATGTGTCAACTGCTCATACTGACAACTCATTCTCTGTTTGGGATACAGGAAAGCATTTAGAAATCATCTGTGATATTGTAACTTTTCTGTCTTTCTACCAAATTAGCAGATCTCCCTAGCCTTTCTTGGCTCCTGATCCCATTTTTAGCTCAGAGGGAAGTGGATGTGAAAACCTGCTGCCCTTTACGTAAACCAGCTTCAGTGAGAAAAGCCCAAAAGGCGAGAAGGAAGCTCTTTCCACTTTGTCCACGCATGATAACTTACCAGCTCTGGTCTTTGGTGGATCAGTGTTGACTTTAGTGGAGCTGCTCTCAGCTTTTATCACTAAATGAGAAATGGAATAGCTTTTTACATCATTACCTCATTAGTACCTCTTCTTTATCTATAGTTTTGCAATTATATCTGAAATTTCTGAGAAGAGCGAAACAAAGGAGATAGAGACATGAAAAGGGACAAAAGACAGGGACTCTCCATCTCCATGGACATTTCTCCTCATTAGAGTTCCTCTGACATGCACCTTTCTTTGTGTGCCATTGGTACCTTGGAGTGGCCACCTAGAGGCTAAACAGAGTTAAGAGAATAAAGTAGGTATTTATTAAAGGCCTTCAAAGATACACCTTGGGCAGTGCAAACGCCTCGCATATGGACAACAGTACCCAGTTTCTAAGACACATATATGTTTGGTCTATTTGCACATCAGAGACTAATTGTCCAATTATAGCTTCAGGTAATGAAGTCATATTCCCTGGGTTTGCTTCCATCCCGATTCACTTCTGGTTCATACTTTTCAGGGCCTGAGGCAGAAGGTGTCCTTGGTTCTCAGGCCTGGAAGGATTGTTTTACCTGACAAAAATGTGAAGGGAGCTTATCAGTAATCTAGATGGAGTTCAGAGTTATACACAAATTCAATACAGGATCTGAAAACTATAATAAAGCTAAAAACTTTAGGCATCACCATCATGGGAGAAACAGTCCCCAGTTCCCAGGAGTGGCTCAGTCTGTAGGAATTAATTCTGTTCCGTACTGTTGGTCTCTGTATTAATCACCCAGGATGACAACTGATATGCATGCAGTGCCATATGTACCTCCTTAAAGAATCCCCCAGGGGTATAGAGGAGAGATTGTCATGCCTCAGGTTTTGCAGGAGGTGGAGATAGGTCTCACCAGAGGTGGTCCGGATACATGACACAGCACAGCATCTCACAGAGACACTCAGCAGGGTCCGGAAGGCCTACATCCCTCACCTCCTAGAGGACAAAGCAGTCTTCCCTGCTGGGCTTTTCTGCAACACTTTTCATTCAGTGATGTATGTGATTATAAAAACTGTCCCCAGAGATGGAATTGTAGGCCACACGTACCAACAGAGATGGCGTCTGCTCTGGCACTGAAAAGATTTGTGGTTTAAAGCTTAACTGGGAAACATACCTCATTGTTTCAAGACAGGACTCTCATTTTAGATCTAAATATAGGTACCATATGTTCCCACACACAAGCACAGCCTTCTCTCACTGTTATTACTGCAAAAGACTGTTGCCAGAAATGGCATCTTGCAGAAGTGAGGTCAGAGAAGAATGCTGTGTGCGTGATGAAATGAATCCCATATCAAACATGCTCTCCAAGTTAACTGCATAGTCAGGCATTGGAGAAAGCTGCCTAGGGAAGCTGTGGGTTTAATTAAAAGTTGTACAGATGTTTTTCAGGAATGGTCCCCTTGTACTTAATATCATTTGAGCACGAAAGATTGAGCTAATTGGCCTCTGCAAATCCTCCCCAGGATTTTCGTGCTTTCTAACTCCTTTTTTACGCTTCTGGATTTAGGCACCAATATTTTTAGTGGTATGGTTTTGAGATTCTGCCATCAGATGAAAGAAATCTTCATGAAAATTAATTGGGAAGTAAAGAAAAGGGATCTGATTCTGAATGCCTACATTAGATGAGAAATTTACCACAGAAACTTTGAATATTTTGTGATGCATTCTAATATGTATTTTTCATAGAGGGCAAACCAAGAAAAGGTGTGACTTATCCATCAACTCTTGAATATTCTTCTTCAAAAAGCACGGCTGTTAAATCAGGCAAGTATTTGTGACTGACTTTCCCTTACATCCATTCACAGCTATCTGTCACAGCTTCTCAGTTGTATAATACAAAGACATAACTATTCAGAGGCAGAAGTTCATGCATCCATTAGTATGTCATCCAAATCACTCATGGTATTTTTTTTATCTTAAGCATATGGAAATAATCTCAGACAATTTCTATTTTTTGGTCATACCATGTTTCACAGACTTCTGTTTCCAAATAATTTCCCCCTTGTTTTAGATCTGTTACTGAATATGATGGTGTACTGGTTATATGCAAGCATTTGAGGTGATACATGTTGGTTTTCTCCTAATGTTACTCATGTTATCTCTTGGGATGGTCAGTGCTGAGGGTATAATATGAAATAGCAATATAATACAAATGAAAGACATGGTAATCCGCAGCATCTTAACTAAGAATGCTACAATAAAGAAGTACTCTGTATAATCATTTTAGTTTAGCATCCACTCTGTAAGACTCAACTCAGTTTAAATTATTTATTTAATTATTTAGTTGCTTGAAGAGGTCTTTGATCAAGTTTCACACTGGTGGGTAGCTGACATTCAAGTGCACATGGATTACCTCTGTCACTGAAATGACACTTGGTTTTGCTCCCTGTTACAGCTATGTAAGGTTCAGACTCTCTCTTGGGGATGCAAACAGAAAATTAATGTCCCATACTACAGTGCACTTCCCTTACATTGTCCTTTTGCTGATTGCTGAGCCTGAGCCTTCCTGGGCATATGCACTGTGCGCTGTGGTAAAAGGAAATGAGCTGTACCTTCTCCATGAACTCAAATGCCTGGCATTGGGTGCATTCATCCAAGACCACAGAGAGGTTACTTGGAGACCTACTCTTCTCCTGTACATTAGTGTTTGGTCCTTGGAAGAAAAGTACAGAGCTCTTTTCTCACAGAATTTTAGAATCATTATGGTCAGAAGAAGACCATCAAGCACAACTCAGCACTGCCATCATGCCCATCATAACCACGTCCTTAAGTGACACATCTACGTGTCTTGCAAATATGTCCAGGGATGGTCACTTTATCACTTCCCTGGAAAGCCTGCTGCAAAGGTTGGCAACACCTTCTGTGAAGAAATTCTTTCTAATATCCAGTCTAAACCTACCTGGGAGCAACCTGAGGCCATTTCCTCTTGACTGATCCCCACCTCACTACAGCCTCATTTCAGATACTTGCAGAGAGCCATTAAGTCCCCTCTGAGCCTTGAGGTTTTTTTCCCAGGCTAGAACAACTGAGTTCCCTCAGCTGCTCCTCATAAGATTTATGCTCCAGCCCTTTCACCAGCTTGGTTGCCCCCCATATTTATATTTTCACTTAAACAGAAGCCACTTTAAATCTAAAAGCTGTAGTTGTTCAGACCAAATATGTGCAGCTCTATTCCATGCCTTTAATTTGTAATACCTTTGCATTTACAATCAAATAGGTACAGATTTGTATATTTCTTGACCACACATGCAGAAATTATTTGACCCAAACACCACGCTCTGCTAGAGGGCAACACCTTAGGAATCTTGATTTGACTTTTTCTGAGAAATGTTCATTAAATCACAGCTCATCATCCCCAAGTGTAGCCATACTTGAAATATCAACCCAAACATTTCAAAGCAGACCAGAGACAATCACAGCCAGGACTGAGCTTAGCAGGCTGTAAGCAATGGTGTCTTCCACCAGTGCCAAAAGCCATGTAACGTAAGAATCAGTATAGAAATGGGGAGCATCATCAGTCAGGGTTCTGCCACACAAACAAAATACCAAGAGCTTGTTCCTGCAGCAAACCAAAAACACAAATCTTTGCTCCTGAATCAAATAGAGTGAATGAAAATGCCTAATAACAAAGACAGTGCATTCATTTAGAGAAAGCCCAGGATTATCAGAGGAGCAAGCAACTAATGTCACCACGTGATTTTGCCCAGCCTTGTCCCACAAGCAGCAAAGAGAACCATTGTTCACAATCTATCTTCCTCAAGCTCTACTTTGCCCTATCAGCCCCCCTCAGATCTGCCCCCTCAACTCAGCCATCTCAGCTGTTCTCTGTTAGAAACAGCTTGTCTTTAAAATAATCCTGTCTCTGTAATCCACAGCCAGGGCCATTTGGTGAAAGAGAATTTCCTACTTACTTTTTAATATTAAAAAGAGCTACTTTTTCTTCTAATTTTAATTATAGAGACCACACTGCTCACTTTGATACTTAAATCCATTATCTGCAGGAAGCAAAAGCAGTCCTTTGAGTATTACACTCACTGCTGTCAGATTAACAAAAAAACCCCTACTTCATACCTGATCAGCTGTCAGAGATGCAATTTTAGTCCTCATCCCAGAGATGCCAGAGATTCATAGTGCCTGACATTTCTTTAAATGCTCCTGGTGGTTACAGTGCTTCTCAAATGCTGGGCACAGCAAGAAAAGCCTTCCCAAAACTGTAACTCTTAACAGCTGCTCAAAGCTATTAAAAGATGTTTAGAAAAAACAGTACAAAATTTTAGGAAAACATTAACACTGCAGTAAATTCTCAAACAGTTTGATGCTGCCAGAAGAGGTAGAGAATAAGGGGAAAAAAAAGGGAATAATAAAATCCTCCAGTACTCAGTGAGATAAAAAAGCAGAAGCAGATTATTTTGTGAGGTAGCAGTAAATAAACTATAATAAGTATTCCAAGTATGTTGGTGTCTCTGGATCTTAGAAATAAAAAAAGAACAAAAAAATCTCCCTTTTCCTTCTAAGCCAGTCCATGGCATTCAGGATTTGGCCCCATAATGATCTCAAAATGTCAGGCAAGAAAGAAATACATCTGAACATGAATTAGTGACTGAAAGATTGTACATTAGCAAGTATGTCCCAAACAGCATAGACACATCATGATCCTGGTTCTCAGAACATGCGACTACTCAGAGGGAAAACATATAATGCATTAAATCTTACAAGTATTGGCTTATTGGTGGCAAATGCCCATACTTCTTGCTTACTTCAGAAATTCTATTGATACTGGCAGGAACTTTTGGGCTGTAAAACTGCCAAAGTTGGGCATGAAAGATAAGGGGAGACTCCTCCCTAGGAGTCGCTTTTTCCCAGTAGGTGATAAAGCCCTGATTGGACTGCCAAACATACCTAATGCCATGTGACAGGATGCCTTCCTTTGGGGACTGATAATCTCTAAATGGGAGACTTGAAATTATGTTCTTTACAGAGCTGCCTTTTCTAATGTGCTCAATTTTGCTTCAGAGCCTAAAAAAACAGAGCAAGACCCAAAAGATATGAAGAGTGCAGACACTGCTAACACATCAGGAAAAGCATCAGATGAAGGTAAGGGTTGGGGACCTTGGTACTCTTTAGAGTATCCAACCCCCCTAATCTGCCTGCAGGTGCTTATAAGGAAGCATTTTGATGCTGGTTACACAGACAGCTTTACCTCCCCCATCCAACCTCCTCTCCACAGCCCCTTTCCCATCAAACCAAACTGCAACGGAGCTTGAAGGGCTTATGCTAATTCAGAGAAGAGGGCACCCACAGAATTAATTTCTGCTTGTGCTTTGAATGAGTTCAGGTTTTGTGAACTTGAAAATCTTGCATTATGGTTCTTGGCAATCTCCTATGCAGGGCACGTGCCCTGAAAACCCTTTGAAGATACTGTGAAAGAGATGGGTACCCTGCCTGCACAAGCATTGGGAACAGCTTCCTCTTGTGTTAAAGGATCCACGAGAAACTCAGCCAACATGCACCAAGGCAACAGCTTTTCTTTGCTCTTACTATGCTACTTCCTCAGGTTTTCTGCTAATACTGTTAGCTTCCAGCTTCCTTGCTCCTCACAGACTGGGGTATAAAGCTGGCCAGTGTGCCTGCGCTCTACTCCAGCAGTACAGGATCACAGGGGAAGACTCACTGTGCCCTCTGTTTTCTTTCTTTTAGCACAGTTTCATGGAGCAGTGCACTGTTCAGCCCAAAAAGAGCCATTCATGCTGATTTCTTCAGCTGAGTTGTTTTGTTTTTCTTCTGAGCCCTCTTTCAGCATTATTCCATGAGTTTTTCACTGCCTAGCATTAGGTGATAATTAATCCACCAGACAGTTTCACAACGATGCCTTCCAAAAGGAGAACATCCAGAAATAGCAGTAGAACACAAGCTTGTGTTGTGCAGCAGTGAATAGAGAGAGCTCCGTTCCCGTTCAATGTAAACAGTGTGTCAGGCCATCCCCAGGGCTATCGGCAGGGAGGAAAGGAACAAGACCAAGGTTAACATGGAATATATTTTAGCACAGTTTTTTTCTAGCTAGATGGAAAAGATAACAGTGAAGAACCTTTTCTGAGAAAATGACTCGGAAGAACCTAAGCATATTGACTATTTTTATAAGGATATTTAGGATGTATATTTTGCAACTAGAATTGTCACTGCTCTCACAACAGATGATACATTTTAAAAGTAGTAGCAACTGTGAGATGACTCAAATTTAGATGAGATTGCCACCTTCCAGGTGGTGCTCTCCTCTGCTCTCCTCAGCCAAACCCCTGATGCTCCCTGCTCTGGCTCTGACCCATTCCCCCAAATCATCTTTATCTGAAAATTGTCTTTCTGTCAAAAACATTTCAGTGCTGCAATTTTTTTCTGGTCTATGACTCAGATTGGCCATCTTTACTACCAGATGCCAGCTGATTTCCATTTATATGGACTTTCTATATGCTTAATTACACTGAGAAAAGACTATGCCAAAACAGAATCTGCAACTGGCTGGTTGAACCATTTCATAGATGTGAGACATCTGTCAGTTTGACAAGTGTTCCTGGCCAAAGCAGAAAAGTGTAAGGGGAACATTAATGCTGCAACAGGCTGTTGTCAGCACCCTGTGACAGCAGAGTGCCACACAGGCACCTGCACGACACATCCACAACGAAGGCACTAATGGCTCCACAGATGAGGATGCTTGTAGGCATTCTGAAGAGAATGCCAGTTTCTGGGTTGCCTTAAACATTGAGTGCTGCTGCTGATGCTTCCATGTATGGCACACATCCAGCCACAGTGACATGTCAATATTCTTACAGGGGATGCAGTCCACAAGGAGTATCAGACAACTCCGGTGCTGACCCCCACCACACAAATGGCCACCACAACCCCCACACCGACGACCACAACCACAGATCCTTCCACCACAGTGCCACAGCCAACCACAACAGCTGCAGCAACCAGAACCACAGCAGCTCCAGCCAAGGCTAGACCTGGACTGCACAGGGTCAGAGATATGGGTCAGTAGCATGGATGTTTTCATTGCTTTCTTCTGGAGTGACAGCTCTCCTAAAATTTAAGGAACAAGATATACAGCTGGATATACCATGATTTAGAGGATCATGAGTTCAGTAATTCAATGTAGAAATACTAGGAGTGAAAAAAAATATGTTAAGTCCAGTAGAGTAATTAATATGAGAGTAAGCTCTCCATCCCCAAATGCTGTAATGATTTTCAGGTATAGAAGTCAATAAATAGTTCTTTGATTCTCACGTCTAGACTGAGAGATCAACAAATAGGTGAAGACTTATTTTAGAATTAATTTTGTGATAACTTTCAATAGATTAAAGTTGTAGTATACTTTTTGTAACAGCTTTTGAATTTTTAAGATTAAAACACTGTGAAGGAATTTTCATACTGTTTTTGAACATCTGATTTTCCTTAATCTTTTGTTCTTTATTTATTGTTATTCATTAGCATTGTGGGGATTTGCTTCAATTGCTGAAAATTAAAATCTCTTATTTTTAGGTTCTAGCAGTGTCCACCCAGCATATGCGTCTGTGGTAGCTGCAGCAGCAAGTAAGTATGGTGAAGTAAGTATGCCACAAGGCATGCAGCACAGTGTGTTTTAGGGCAGCAGCGATTCAATAAACTTTCAAGCCTCAGCAAACTCAATGACTGAATCCAAGTCTGGATTTAAACTAAAAAAAACAGATGCTTGGCCTGAATGTCAAAGATGCTGATGACCCACAGTTCTGAGGAAGCCTTACTAGTGAGTATCTGCCCATTTCAGCTGTGACAAAAGATGGGTTTTGCAAAACTTGAGACGAAGATTTTGCTATTTGAATTATGTTTTCCTATTACTTCCTTCTGTCATATTCCTTCAAAGGGAGACTTGATTTCATTGTAAAACACACGATGCAGAGGGCTGCACAGCCACCTAAGCTTCCGGCTGGAAGCTCTGAAATGCTGACATACATTAAAACACTCTTCTCTCCAAAATCTCGGCTGTGTTCTGAGCCTGGCACACATGTGATGTTATTCCTGGCTTGCTGCTTGTTATTGACAGTGGAATGGTGGCTGCTCAGAGCTCTGCATCTCAGTCCAGGAGCCTGCTCTCAGTCCAGCCCACAGCCTGCCATGCAAGTATACAGAGGTGTTTTTCCAGACACTGTGCAATTGCTCAGCTGTGCAGTCAAGAAAAGGAGAATATTTTCAATAATTTGAAAGGTTCTGAGCATGGGGATATGATTGCTTTTGAGTGAAAAGGGAGCTGGGCTATCATTAGCTTTCATGCTCCATAGCTATTTCTGAGTGCTTTCAACTCAGCTTTCCTCTCACATTACTGCAGTCATCCCCAGTGCCAAGTAATTCACAGCCAAGAACATGGCAGGGCAAGCATCTTTCAGGAAATTCAGGTCTTGAGGTGAAGCACAATTAAGTAAAATTTAGTTGTTAGTGCAGAATAAAGGCAGGGGCTGGAGGGGTTAATCTTATCAAGTCAAATGTGCAGGTAGGTATGTGCATGGCAGGATTTACAGAAATTTACAAAACTTTAAAGATTCAAAAGGGTTTAAATTCTGTGGAAATCTGCATCATTCAGTATCTAATGTGCCTGTTAATTTGGTTCTGCTTGTTGCTTTCTTTTCTACTTCCTATTACCACAGGTTGAGCACAGAGGAGGCCTTTACTGTCTTTACTAGCAATTAGGAAACCCTGTTAGAGGTTCCCCAGTCAGAAAGAGATGAGTGTTGAGAGTAAAGTATTGGCAACACTGAAAACAGTGGGAAGGTTGTATTTGCTTTAATAAGACAAGTAATTTAGTCCAAAAATTGAAAACAAACCCTAAACAAAACAAAACCAAAAAACCAACAAAGGACCCCAAACAAAAATTTCTCAAATTTTCCAATGTTTTCAGTGGTCACTTAGTTGTAATTTGGATTCATCTTTCTTCACAACTTTCTTTACTGAAGTTCTAAGCATAAATTAATTCCCAAAATATTAAAGTGATTACAGCTAAGAGCTGGAGTGGTAGAGACCCACTTCTGATTTCGCAGACTACATTTCTAGGATTGTGTCCAGCATGTCAGTACCTGATATTCCTGAATTCTCCTGACCCCTTCCTGATTCTGAAAGAGAAGAGCTGGATAAATTTAAAAATACAGAAAGTACAGTTTTGATGTCATGACCATACATAAAGCTGTTTTCTCCGTCTGAGGAGCCTTTAGGACCCACTGCTGTCATTCAGTGTTTCTGGTTGTTGGTATTAACCAGAGTTTGGCTTGACTGAACAGAATCAGATGTTTTCCTGTCCATCCTGGCTCACAGAGACTCACAGATCTACCTCTCACTGTGCATTGGTAGTTTTCCTGCAAAAGACACCTCAAAAGTAAACAGCTATGAAACAGCACAGTCAGAATGAACACACCGTTTCCATTTCCAGCCACTGGCGCTGGCAATAGTTCACTGGAGCAAAAGAAAAGCAGGACTTGCAGATTAGAGCATGAGAGCAGGGGCAAAACTGCTGCCCTAGTTCTTGATGTTCTTTACCCTTTATCTTCTGCTTGTCAAAGATAGAGTAACATAAAAATTAATAGAGACTCTGCTCCATTGCCAGACCCCCCTGCCTCAAAGGCTTGATGTGCCAAAACTGCAAAATGAAAAAAACACTGATGTGACTAGTGTGCCATATGACAGCTGGTTCCTGCCTGCCTTACTAAGGCTTCTGCCTCTGTCCAACAGCAGCTAACCCAGCACACTCCCAAGGGCCACAAGCTCACTTGTTCTCTCCCATCCCAGCTCTTCAAGCAACCCTTTCTTGCACAGCAACTTGGACCCTAGATGAGGCTCAGGTCTAAATCCAGCGCTTCTGTGAACACTGCAATCACAAATCATGTCATGGTCCTTGGTGCCATGTTGAAGCACTGCGCTGACAACAAGCACCGGGCAGCAATTGCGTGGGCACTGCCAGGTGATGGGCTTTCCTGCCCTCTGTGTCCAGATGGGGGCAATGGTTGTATCTATTTTCAAACAGGCACTCTAAGCTGGGCACTGCCTACCATGGTACACTACACAGATTTCATCCCCAGCTGTGACTTCATAGGGCAGTAAACAGAAAAGTATTGAAAGGACATGAGACAGTGGTACTGTAAGTGCCAGAGAGGGCATTGAAAGCTCTTCTCCAGCAGGAAGACCAGTAGGGCTCATGCTTTCAGGAAGCACTGGACAAACATTCCATCCTGGCACCAGGGAGAACAGCTGGAGTTTATTTTTGGATGCTGCCTTTCTCCCCAAGTTATCCCTGACTACTTAACCCATCAAGGGTGCTGACCAAGTTGCAGATGGCCAGGCATGTTTTGTGCACAGAGTAACTCCTCTTCCTCTCAAATCAGTTCTCATTATTCACAAGGTTCACTCTAAACTGCACATACACCGCTGTTCTCATAATTTCCTGCCTCCATGCCTCCCTGCTCACCACAGAACTTGCCAACCAAGCTTTCTCTGCTCCACTACTTTGATTTTTGACTCAGTTCTTGGAATTTGCCAGGGACTGTCCATCCCCAGTTTGTTACAGACTTCTCTTAGTCCTGCTCGGCCTCCAGCTTACACAGAGCTCTGTTCTAATGAACACATATTCCCATGCCACAGCCTCACTGGCATTTCAGATTCAAAGGAAGAACAAGCCTCACAACCTGGAAGTGCAATTCCAACTTTTCCTCCTCTAGCACCACCATGTTTGCCCCACCCAACAAAAGCATGGCAGAAGGCAGCTTACTGCAGGGATGGGGGTAAAATGTGCCTTTGGGAGGTACAGCAAGAGGGAGCAGCTCCATGGCTCAGCCCAGTCATGCATAGAGAGAAATCTACATTGCTAATATCAAATTAAAATTTAAAAGTGGCATTAAATACTTGGATACTGAGGTAATGTCTCTTTTACCCTCTTGTACTCTGTTTCCACTGATCTTGTAAAGAGTGTTAGATATGCATTGGGGCTCAATCATGGCAAACATGAGATAAGGGCAGCTCTGAGACTCAGAGTTAATTTTCTACCACCACTTTGGCATATACTGATTTCCTGAGTGTAAAGCCTGCCCTGCACAATTCCATACAACAATGCTGCACACGCAGATTTTTCTGACCGAAAGCAGAATACTCAGCCTGGTATAGCTGTGGTCCATCTGGAGCTTTACAAGCTTAGAGTTTAAAAGCCTTGCCAGTTTTGGCATATGAGCCCATTACTTCCATAAACAGGATCTCTTTGGCCTCTGGAGTTTACAAGGTCTCTCAGGACAGCTCCTAGAAATCTTGTCAAAGGGCTTCTCGTAGCCTTGGAGGTTCAAGTTTGGGTCAAACACAAGCTACTTACTTCACTTAATTTTGCAATGTCAAGTTCCCAAGGAGCAGCAATTCCTGTTTTCTGAGACAACCATTCAAAATGGTCTCATTGATGACATCTTATTGATACAATAACCTCTCGGGCCCCTGTTCAGTGTTCACAGAGTCTGGTAGAACATTCCCACCTGATTTCACCAGGCTTTCAAATTAATCTTTCTAGGAAAACTAATGAATAAAGGCTTGTTAAAGGATAAATTTGTTAACAGGCTTCTTAGGAATAATTAATGAAATGAAATGCATGATTAAAGACATGGTTTTCATCTGCAAATGCTTTGAGCCCTCAGTATTTTTGAACAATGGGAATTTAATAACCCAATCACCTTTTAAAAAAGTCTTTGTGTAGAAGACATGTCAGACACATTAATTATCCCACATTATTTTTCTATTGTCTCATTACTTTTGGTCTGCCTCCTTGCTCATATCCACTTAATCTCTGCAGAAAGGGTAATATCTGGTCTGCGGGGTTGTTTTGGGGTTGGGGTTAAAACCTTCCTCACACAACTAGGACAATTGGATGGTACAGAAATAAACACAGATCACCAGTGTGAGTGGGAGAAGGAAAATTACAAAGGAAAGCAAACCACAGAGGTAACTGCAGATCTTTTAAATGCAGACCAGAGACTTGTAGAAATAATATCCATAACTAAAGGGCACAGACAGATCTGTATGACAGACAGAGCAAGACAATCCTTTTCTAAGCAGGCTCAAAATATATAGTTAACATCTAAGAAAGTCCATTAATGACAACTCTATATATGAACCATTAATTCTGACAGCTATAAAGTGAGACTCAGTGAAACAGCTAGGTAGCAGTAGTACTGAACAATGGGAATAAATCCCACTTTTCCACTTTGATGTCTACATAGGACAGGTTCAGGCCGCACAAGGAAGAGGACAGAATACAGGTATGTTTTAATTTAACAACAACCAGTAGATTTGTACTGCTCAAATGCTAGAAAAACTTGTGGTTAAGTTCCATGTGCTAACCAATATAATATTTTTAAAGCGTTCTGGGGCACTTCCACCTCTGCAATTAACAGGAATATTTTACGACACAATACAGGTAAAGGCATTACTATCCTCCTCTATTTCATCCCTGCAGACATTTTTACCACTTACATCTACCAAGTCATGCAGTAACACACTGGTTTTCCCTCCTAACCATGTTCATAGTAGGCTGCAGTGAGAGGAGATATAGTGGTCACTGCATGACAATAGTGCAATTTTAAAGGAAAAAAGTAAACAAGATTGATTAAACATGGAATTGTTCTCAAAACACTAGTCTAAAATAATTTATAGAGGTCTTCTATAACATTTGCTGTTGCAAAATGAGAGGCAAATGTTGTGTCAGTGTAGGCTTGCCTGACCCAGTTCACAGGCCCTGAGCATGGTCAGCATCCCAGGACCCACTGCCAGTTGTTCCAGCAGACCAGCTAATAGCTACACTCTGCAGCACCTACTAACATTTAAACTCTTTTTCCAGCCTCTTTCAACCTTTTAAAATTAATTCATAGTTTCCATCTTCATTTTCTGTGTTGCCTGAAAATGTGCAGAAAGACAATTTGGGGCCACTGCATCCCTTCTGATGATGCTCCTCTCTCCTCACCCACTGGCATCTTTTAACCTCTTGCCTCTTTGTCTGATTTTGCAGGTGCTCAACGCCAAGAGCCCATTGCCACCTTCCAGAGGGCTGCCAGCTCTCCAGTCCACCTGGGTGAGCAAGAACTGCCAGCAGCAGATTTTCCAGTCTCTTTAACAGTTTTAGCAACCACAGATTAGCCCTTGTACTGCACATTGTTTTCCTGCATCCTGGAGGAGGACCAGGGCAAGACTCATGCACTGAGCACCAACAAGCAACTTCCTGAAAGGGGAAGGAAAGCTCAGTCACAGGTGACCTGTTGTTTCAGGCCATGAGAATCAACATCTACAAAATGTTTTCAATTTTTCTTATTTGTTAGTCAAAACAGGAAACAAGCAACCAGCTCTGTGCAGCCTACCAGGTCTCCATAGAGCTAGATCTTCTTTTCCTGTGGTTCCTAGAAACCTCTAGGCTGACAGTGAAAGTAGAGGTTGCTTTTAATACTGAGGGTAGAAACATCACCTGTACTGTTCTCTCTTCCTGGAAGTGCAATTGACCCTTCCCCAGCAAGCAGCCCAGTCAGCAGGCACTTTGCAAGACCTACAACAACTTTCCAGGGGCTCCAGAGTTCTCAGCACACATACCAAACACTAACTCTCCCATGATGGACAGCAGAGTTTCTCAGAGACAGATTTTGACTGGGAGCACCCAGGGTGGGATGCGGGATGGGAGTTGGGTTGCAGCAAGGCATACAGGGCTGCAGTGAGGCTGCAGGCCCACAGAGTCCCCACAAGAGCAGCAGAGCAGGTCCAGTGGTGGTTCCCAGGGTGACTCAATAGCCCAGGCTGCCAGGCAAGTCCCAAGCAATGAGGCAGGTCTGACCAGCTGAGGCAGGGCACCAGGTAAGTGAGGCAAGGTCAGGGTCAAGATAGCAAGGCACAAGCCTAGGCACAGGTACAAGGAGCTAAGGAGAGGGTGTGCACCTCTGTGCTGTCCCATAGATGCTTCCCACAGTCCTTTCTCACACACAGCACAAGGCAAGTGCTGCCCTGTACCAGTGCTGACTTCTGGCATGGGCAGCCACTGGGAAGGGAGAGACTGTAGTGGATGAAGGTGTCCCTGGGCCCTGAGGGCTTTGGTGAGAACTGGGAATCACAAGAGGAGTATTCTGTCAGGGAAGAGCCAAGTAGTCATTCACGTTGAGGTTAGAGGGTGTGATTATGCAGGATATGTTATTCTCTTTCCAGATGATTCCAGCCAAGTAATCTTACCCAGCAGTCTCCTGGTCAAAATGACAATTTGTAGTTGACCTAGTTGCAGCATATTTAAAATGCACTTGTCCTAAGATGGACTCCATTCTCTCACTTTTCTACTCCTCCTCATTTCAATCTCCTTCTCGTCTTTCTGTTTTCCATCAGTGTTTGTCTTTTTCATACATTTTTGGCCATACCAAATGATGTACTGGCTAATTCTCAGGCTAGCCAAATCATTGCCAGAAAAACAGGAGAATACTGCTGAGTCTTACTTAAGTCAGTGTTTCACTCCATCTAATTGCTTAAGGCACCTTAACATCACCCTAAAATGATTAAAAGGCACAAATTTTCCATCATAAATTATTCTGTTTTCTTCACCGCAGAACAAGAAGAAAAAGAAATATAAACACATATTTGCTGTATTCCCAGTAAGTCCTGACCCTTTTTTCAGTCCAGAATGTGGCAGCTCAGATATGTTGCTTTCAAGCAGCAAACTTTTCTAACAATCAAAGGAAAATTCCTGAACAAGTCCTTGCTTTCTTGGAAAGGCAGGTTGTGCTTCTTAATCCCACCAAGTGTGTGCAAAAAGCAGTGATCAGATCTGAGAGTTTGGCCACGATGTCAAGGAACTTCCTCTCATCAGCTCAGGTTGCCAGAAAACTGTGCTAGGAAAATGCCTTCCCCAAAATACCCGTTACTTGTGCCACACACATTAACTCCCTTGAAATCCCATACTCACTTAATCTTGAGTTTTCAATAATGTTTTTCAAGGCATTTATACTGAATAATTTTGGTGGTGTCTTTTTTTTTAAAGAGACCAGTCTTGAAGTATGTTAAAAATCAACCCTTTTTTAAATGGGCATCTTCAAGTGAGGGAAAAAAAAAAACCCTATTATAAAAATAATAATTTCACTTTCAGATATACATTTCATGGACAGCTTTCTTCATTATGTGTTCTAGGACAATATCCAAGAAATAGACCTTTTTCCTGGATAAACAGGTCACTAAAAAAACCTGTATATTTTGCATATTTGCAGACAGCTACCCCAAATTCTTGGTATTTATCTTGTGTTCTTGGTACTTACCTTCTTCATTAGGATAGTAAACTGACACGGAAAGTTCTAAATGGGTGAACTGAGAAGACTGGTGGAAGAAACAATAGACAGCTCCTACCCACAGGGATTTGGACAGACTAGAGTACCTGTGGACACCTGAGCTGATGAAGCTGTTAATTGTTAATCTAGAAAAACCTCACTATTACTCCCACTGATAAAAAACAGTCTTTCAGCATCTGCCTGTCTTTTGTAAACAGTCAGAGATGCTAAAGAAGCCTGGTTTCTGCGGGTGCTCCCTGACAATGAAGTGGCAGCAGAAACAAAACCTGTGACACGTGAGATGGGCACATTCCATTGCTCTGATCCTTCAAGTCACATCCCTATGTATGAAGAAGAGAAAAGTGGGCAAATCTTTGTGCAACTCCTCAGCTGGTTCCATTTGCCATACAGTTCCTACTGCTTTAAACAGGTTTGCCACTGCAACTCACAGAGCAGCATATTTGTACAGAAGACTTGAGAAGTGCAGGGTCTTCTTTGTAATTTGCTCTTTGTCTGGTTTTACTTTTCAACTTGTCAGGATGAAAAGCAGCCTCATATGAATCTTCCTTTCTCACAGTCACTGGGTCCTCCTCCAGCCCGGGAGGGGGAGGCACATCTTTGGAGATTATCTACTCACAAACTGGTTTTGTTGAAATTTGTTCTTCTCAGTGACAGCATTCAGGAGACATGTTGGCCACTTTGATAACAAATCAGCTTTTCTGTGGGGGTAGGGTCCCCCTGTGCTGCAACCCTCACCCCTAGCTCCTGTTGCTGCTCTTTTCTCATGACTCTGCTGAAGGATGTATGAAACTGGTAAACAACACTGCCAGAATATAGGAATATTTCTCCTGGCTTTCTTCTTGTTTCTTTTCCCATTACCCAGGCCTGCCCTTTTTTACCCAATTTCTCCTCCTAAGCAAAATCACAAAAAACCTTCTGTGTGCTTCATGACTGACCTAGTGATTCACTGTCCTCAGTTTTCAGATCCTTCATAGGGTGTTTAAGTAGTGCTCAGCATAAGGAGGGAGATCACCCTAGCAATGAAACATGACAGGGTTCCTCCTACCCTAAGGGAGATCACACACCTTATTCAGCCATCAGACTCATCCAACAAGTCTCCCTCCCAAAGAGAAGCTGATAGCTCCCCATGGGAAAGGCAATCTAAGGACAAGGTCAGTGCTCTCTAGGCTGGAGGACACTGGCAAGCCCCTGCAAAGCTTTATTGAAGCTTCACTCACTGGCTCTAGTCAAGAGCACACCAGCTCTGTGCAGCTTATTGGATCTTCAATAGAGCTAAAGCTTTTCTTCCTGGGATTCCCAGGGCCTGTTTCTGTCCTAGTCAGATGCAAGGGCATTCATCTTGCAGAGCAGCCCAGAGCAAAACATCACTTTTTGGGAACATCTTTCAGCAGGTTCCAAAACCAAAGACATTTTGGGGTTTATTTATAAGAGCAGCAATTTTGATGAAGTTATCCATGCCTAATAAGTGGAAAGCAATTATTAGACAATTTCTTTGTGTTTTGGTGGGCTGAGGGGATAGAGAAATCTGAAGGTGAGAGGTCCTTGCAGATTTTCAGTGAAAAAAAAAAACAAATTAAAAAAAAAAATTACTGAGGTTTGTGCCTCAGTATCAGTGTAATTTAGAGGAATAAGACCAAAACAGATCTAGTGAGATGTATTTAAAACCTTAAAAAAGGTTTTCCTCTGAAGGCAGTGATACAAGGCTCCTAATCATGGCTTGAAATGTGCATGTAAGAGTTCCCAGGTTTACTAATTTCCTCAGCTCCTAAGTTATTAATTTAAGTTATTGTCTGAACTGAACTCTAAATTGAGTCAGACCTGTGTGATCTCTAGTATTTGCACTACTAGCAGTAAAGGTTTTTTTTTTTGGTTTTTTGTTTGTTTGTTTGTTTGTTTTTGTTTTTGTTTTTTTTCTCTTTCATGTGTGAAAGCAATGGAAATAGACTCATGGAAACCTGGACTGAGCATTTTTGACACAGGTAAATATTTAAAACATCTAGTAACTGCTCTGGGAATAAGTGGTTTTCATCACACATGGGTAAAGCTAAATCTATTTATTCATCAGGCCCATGGCACTGATGGTAACAATCTCATTTTAAGAAGTAATTACATCATTCAAAATTACAAATAAGGGATGTTGTTTACATCTTAGCAGATTATTCTGTGCTTTCATCACTCTTGAGTTCCTGCTTAAAGCAGGAGCAGAAGAGAGGAGCTCTGGAAAGAGTTGGCAGCTACAGTACAGGAAAGGGATTCTAGCTACTGAAATCCATTTGTAAATGAGAAGGTATTTTGGGAATGCCACAGCTGAGATCAGAGTTTAGAGCTGCAATCAGTGAAGAACACGACAGATTATCCTGATGTCAGTTACTTAGGGAAGACATTCAGATAAGAAAAGGAGGGTTTGTGTCAAACATAAAGAATAATGCACATCGTTTAAATTTTCAGACATTTTAGCCTTAAAAACTGATAATATGGAGATAAGAATATTTTATGAACACTGGTGAAGGAAAAAGCCCTCTACATTTCTAATAGGCTCTAGTAGCAACAAAACCAAGACTTCTGCAACCCTGAATCGGGAGCAGTTTTCCACTGCAGATTTAACAGCTCCCTCTCCTCGGGAACATTAAAATAAGACTGCAGAAGATACAGACCAATTCATGATGTGGTGCTCTCCCTCCTGCAAGGGCCCTGACCATCCAGTGTAAGAGGTCTTTCCCACATGGGTTGTGATGCTGGAGAGGGCTGTGCTGGTGGCCCTTTTAAAGGCCAATCCCTTGAATATTCTTCTTAATAAGCCACTAGTGTGCTTATTCAGGAAAAGCTACAACACGAGGGCCAGGGTGCAGAGGGATATTTTGAGGCAGAAAATGACAGATTGCATTAAATGCAATGAAAGGTTGGGCATGGGGGAAGGGATGTTGTATTAATAGTTTCTCAGCAACTGAAGTGCCAGCACAGACTAGTGTGATAAAGTCTTGTCAGACTGTCACTTCAAAGGAGTGGTTTCTGGCATGGATGTAATCACTGCTGTCTTACTTAAATGAATGGGAAGTTTAATCAGTATGGACAGTTGTGACAATCAGTGAAGGGAACTTTAATAAGCATGTTGTAGACTGCCCATGCAGCAGGCTGAAATTCCCATGGCAATACCAACAATAATTGGACTGGCAGAACAGGGAGGCCCATAGAGACTGACCACCTCCTCAATTAGTTGGGGAAGAGTATTTGGTGGGTGACCTTATTGTTCCACTAAGCACAAATCAGCCAGCTGACTCACAGCCTTCAAGAACTGATAATTACACTGACAAATAAAAATGAAAAATGCTGCACTGCCTATACTTGAGTTTTCCATGTTGACAAAGCTAATGTCAGCTGTATGCCTGGGAAAAGAATATGGATTTTACAGGATGCAGACAAATGCATGAGGCAGATAGCTATCTATGAATTATCCTTCATATATAATTTGGTTGCTAAAATGGATGGCACATGTTAATTTCTAATTTCACTACAGTGTAAATCCACCTACTTTCTGTTCTGCAAATAAGGCAAGGTGTGGGGGGTGAATGCACATATGGGATACCAAGCTGGCACATGTGAGGTATGCAGTGTGCAGGCTGCAGGATGAAGTGCAGCTTTGGTCTGTTGCTGAGGAACTATTATGTGCCTGTGTAATTAAAACCTCTACTGGAATATACACAGTCAGGAAGGCAGGCTTATGACTATTTCAGGTTTTAAAAAAAAAAACACAATCATTTTCATCCATGTGGTTGACAAAGAGAGGCTGTGCATGGCCAAGTCATGATGCCTTTAACTTCCACATCAGATAAACTAATCATAAACTTGCACAAGACTTGCCTTCCTTCAAAGGCGGGTTTGGTTAGTGTCAGCAAGACCTTCAGGCCTAAGAGAGTTCAGAAATGTTTCCTGCAGCAGATATCACTGGATGGAACTGTTTGGTGTCACCCCTGTTCCACATTATTTTTCCTCAGTCAGGAACAAGGTGGCCAGCCTCAGGTAGTGTTGCCCCAGCACCACCACTCTACCTCTCCCTCCTGGTGTTTCCCCCATCCAAATGGCTTCCCATGGGCCAATACACAACACCAGGTGCACTTCTCCCTGTTCCTTGCCTGGGAGCTCATCCCCAGTGCACAAGACAAGAGGGACACGAGCCAGAGAGTGCTGGGCAACAGCTCCAGCCATAAGAGATGAAGCTGGTCAGAGCCTGGCTTGCCAGCCTGCTTTTGAATGCATTCAGCCTGCTCTGCACAAGAGGGCCAGCTCCACTAGCTGTGGGAGAGAGGCTTTTCTGTCACAAGAGCCTGTGCCTGGATGGGTGGAGAGCTCCTGTTCCCAGCCCAGAATGTATCCTGTCCAAAGTTTGGGCAGGAGCACAGGGAAGCTGCATGTGGGACTGCAGGCACCGCATACACAGCGACAAAAAGCAGCACCAGCCCTGGGGCTCTCCTAACCTGGCCATACATAGCAGGGAAATCCTCAAACAAAGCACACAAAGCAACCACCAACTCTTGCTGTAAACAAAGTAGGGCAACTCTTTGTGCCCTTTGCCTACTCACAGACAGCCCCACAGGTTCCCATACAAGGCCAAGCCCAGTGCCCCAGCTAGTTCCACATCCCGGCTCTGGCAACAGGCAGCAGCAGATGCCTGGGAATAAGCAAAGCAGAAGGAAATCACTGCTTTGGTGCTGCTGTTAGTAGCTCTGTTTGGTCCCTGCACTGGCAGCTGAATTTCAATCTGAGAAGCCAAAGCACCCATCTGGTACTTGGGCTGCCGTATGCTGAAGCCTCCCAGCAGGGATCAGGTACCTATCAGGTCAGCTCTATACCAGGTCCTGCATACTCAGACTTAATAGAAACATGGCCCCTGACCCAAAACTATGTGCAGCTTTCATCGTGCAGCTAAAAGGACTCAAAAACGTTGTATTTGACAATTATGAGAGGTAAAATTTTAGACTTAACTGGAATAGAAATAGGAGTGGTCACAGAGGGGGATGGAGCTGGTACTTCCCTCTATTTTCTTCACAGTACTCTGCCTTATTATGGCTTGGTCCTCGATACATTCAGCAACCAGCTTTGGCTGTTACATCTCCCATCATATTTAGGCAGTGACCTTCCCTGATGTCCCTTTACATACACTGATGCTCTCATGCTTGGCTTGCTCCTGGCTGGCTGCTGTGGAGAGACAAAGTCTGTGGTACCTAGTAATTTCTCATACTTTTCTTTATAAAGCTCACACTTTCTAAAATTATCTTTTCACTGTGTCTCTGAAGTCAGTAATCTTTCCTCAACTTACTTGGTGATGAAGATTTAAGGAAGTCTTCCTCCTACTTTTCTTTAAAAATCTAACATGCAATTTACAAAAGTAATAAGCTGTTGTGCTGTTCTTTAGACCAACAGCTTTCTTGGTGAGTGCTGAGTTTGTAGCTTGTCTGATAATTGCTGTCTCTACTGAGGATTATCGCAGCTAAATCCCTTTAATCTTGTCATGCTGTACTGAAAAGACACATCTCTTAGCCCTTGCTTGGAAGGGAGATGCTAGACTGTAGGAGAGTCTTGCCATACCAAGTCATGAGTGAAGTTCAGCATTTTTAGACCTTCTGATGCCAGCCTGATGGTGTCCTGTGAGTCAGTACCTTTCACAAGGACATCAGCTCTCTGTTACCCTATTTCTTTTGTGCTTTGCAAAATAACCCAGACTTCTGGAGGCACCTGAGGAGCTGTGGCTTGCATTGCTTCTCCAGCTGTAATGAGCTGGAGTCAGTTGCTGCCCGTGCTTTCCTCTCCATACAGAAAACAACATTATAAAACTAGTGCTCATCCACTTCAGACATTGTGCAGCTCATTGTAAGGCACAGTGAGCCAGCAGGGTGGCAGCACAGGTTCTCAGAAGACTGCTGGGAGTCACCATCCCACACTGTGGCCACCAGCCTCTGCTCCTGAGGAGCCTACTACTTGTGCATGATGCTCCCAAGCCCTTGCAGTTAGGGAACTGACTCCCAAAGGGGAGCACCTCAAAGCTGGTGCTAGGAGAGATTTTGGTGGCATTCCTAAAAATATCTCTGCTCTTGTTTTACCCCAGGAGTGATGTAGATGAAAAAAGGTAAGCTCCAAGGATGTCCTCACCATCCTTGTTTTCCTCCCACACCAATCCTCAGGCCAGGGGGTCTCTGCAGTGACCCTGTTGCCCATTTCCTCAAAAATCAAGGGCAGTCACACTGATAGATCCTTTCCTTTCTCTGTTTAGGCTTCAGTTCAAAGGAAGAATTGAATCCAAAGCCGTTGGAATCCATCTCCCAGGGGAACCAGAGTATGTACTTCATAATTAACTTCATAATTAAGTGCCATTAATAATTACATATTGCTAGAATGCATTCAAATTAAATAGCAAAAGGTAAGTTTTCAAGAAAGCCTAACAAAATCCAGGAGTACATTTTTCCATTGCAGAGAAAAAGCGAGCACTCTCTGCTGACCCCTCATACACAGAATAAGTTTTTGCTTCTACAGGGAAGGAAATAATAGCCAAAATTTAGCTTACCTGGGCAGTAAGATGGTGGCTGCTCTGTACCACCTCTTCCCAGGCAGTATCAGCTCCAGGCTCCCAGTGTGCAGAGCTTCACTCAGGTACTTTGGTGGCAGAGGACAGCAATCCAGTGTGCTGCAGCCAGGGTTAGATGAGTAAGCCCTGCTGACCAGAGCAGGCTCCCATGGCTATGCTGTGTGTGCAGGCACCCTTCCCACAGCAGTGGGTGGGAGGGAAGGAAACCACCTGAGAAAGGGACCCAACGCCTGCCACAGCCAGGAGAGAGAGGATGCAGAGGGAGCATCAAGGACCACTCAAGTTCAGAGAAGAAAATGCAGGTTCTCCTACTCTGAAATTTTGTACATCTCTTTAAAAAGGCAGATTTACCCATTAACCCATCTTTAGTTGAGGCCCAAAGTAGCAGAAGAAAGAGAAAGCAAATTCTGAGTGGAGAGATGGGATCACCTGCCACCTCTTCATTAGAAGCCACCCCAGAGGGTTCACCCTTCCAACAGTGCCTGGGTCCTCTTTTGCCCATCCTTGGGCAGCTGAACACTGTATGGACTCTTGATAGTAACTTCTGAACCAAAAGTCTACGTATTCCTAGGAATTCCTCTTAATATTTAAAGAATTGTTTTCCCTATCAAAGATTTCAAATACATCTGAAACTTATACAGAAATAAGGGAAAGAAGAAAAAGGGAAGGCTCTGCCCAACAGACCCCATTGCACTGCAGAAAAGCAGAGCTTGGTGCAGTGGAGACGCCAGCAAAGACAGCTGTGTTTCCAGCAGTTAAACTGAAATAAGTCACACCAGAAACAAAATTTTCATCCCACTGCTAACTCTCGGACCATAAAAACCCTAATTCAGATCTTGTCTCCCTGCAAATCAGAAAGTGCTCACCTCCCTATGAAGCACCCTTAGCCTGTGCTCTTGCAGCATCCCTCTCATGTCCCAGCACTGAATAGGAATCCTCCCCAGAAACCAAGTCTGCTTATAAGTGTATGTAAATCTTTGCCTCCCCAGACCCTGCTGGCTAACAAACTGCCCACTTTCCACATATAGATCTCATGAACTAGTTCCCTTTGAAGGATGAGAAATTCAGGAAAACTTGGCTGTTAATTGAGGTATTTGTTGTGGGTTGCTGACCTTGCCTCACGATCTGCTGCGAGCAGACATGGTTCTCAGTCACGCTCCTGTAATTCAGCATTATTAGAATTAGAAAAAAGAGACAGCTATGGGAGAAAAAAATTGAAGGTAATGAGATGGGAGGCAGTTGCATAAGCCACTAAGAACAATTGGTGCTTTGTAGCCTTCGGGCTACCTAATGATTAAAACACAATAGTTTGAACAGTCTGATTGGTAGGAGGCATCATCAGAGGGAAATCAAGAGATGGGGATGACCCAATGCCGGAGGGGGAAAATGTTAATTAGCACTCCAGTTAAGCCAAATTTTGATCCCACTCCTGGTTCCAGACCAAAGTTGAATGCTTCACCACTAACTTGCAGAAATGTGAAAGCAGGGTGGCAGAGATGAAGACAGCATTTGCAGCAAAATACGACGTTCATCTGTGTAATTAAAGGGAAGAGTTTGTTTGGGTACAGGCATACCTTTTATAGAACATTTCTTTCAGCCCAGAGAGGAAACACACAACAGCATACCACTGCTGCTGCACACACGGGTACAAGAACATGCAAAAGAACAGCCCCCACTTGGTCTTGAATATCCCAAGCAAAATCATCATCCTTGATGTTAGCTCCAGCCCAGAAGGAAACTGATGAACAATTCTCATTCACAAGTGCAGAGCTGCCAGGATTGTTGTCGGTAATCCTGGATTGCAATCACCTTGAAGAGATCCCACACAGTGTCCTTCCCCTGAGGCACATCCTAGGCATCACACATTTCATGAATTTCCCTGTCTTCCAAGCAACATTAACACAATAACTGGTCCTGTTATGTCTATTACATCAATTAAGTCCACAAAGGTGTCACCAAGGAAATCCCCTTAGTTTGTGCTCTGCAGGTTACCAGACCACAAAATCCAAGCACCATGGCTGGTTTTACAAACTCCCATCACCTCTGGGCTGCAAATAAAGCTTGCTGAGCCCAAGACATGGCTCTGAGGGCACAGGTCAGCTTGCTCCTGTGGGGCTGATCTCCCTGGCCCCCAAAATGCAGTGCTCCCAGACTGACCCCTTTGAAAAGTTTCTTGCCCTTCTGTCACAGAAACAAGCTTAGATGTGTATGGGACAAAGTCATGCCAATAACTGTGTTTACAATCGGTAGGACAGAGTTGAGCTGCCAACTGTGACTTGTCCTTGTCAAAGGCTTTTTTGTAGCGTTTACACAGCAGGACAAGTCACTGGATGCAGACTTTTTAGGCCTTTGCTGCTTGCAAGATGCACAGCAATCAGAAAGGACTAAAAATATCTTCCATGTCTTTTTATCTCTCTTCAGATTGCAAGGTTGATTTGTCCTTCTTAATGGATGGGAGCTGGAGCATTGGCAAACGCCGCTTTCAGCTCCAGAAGCGGTTCCTTGGTAACGTGGCTCAAGCCCTTGGCATCAGCAGCGCTGGTCCTCTGATGGGCATTGTTCAGTATGGGTAAGAGTTTCCCAGACATCCCCATTGCCACAGGACATGACTGCACACTCTGGCAGCTATAGCTCTAGGCTGATACATGCTAAAGGTCTCCCTCCAGCTTGCACTCAGGAGCCAGGTAACACAGACCAGCCCTATGGCTTTTGTGTTGTATGTGAAGCAAAATACTGACATTTGCTCTATTTTCTCCTTTTAGTGATGACCCTTCCACGGAATTTAACTTAAAAACTTATGTCAACTCCAAAGATCTAAGGAATGCCATTGAGAAAATTCAACAGAAAGGGGGACTTTCCAATGTCGGTAGGTGATGGTGCTGCTTGCACATCCTCTGCTCAGGGAAGGCTTCAGAGCCTGGGCCCACACCTCCTCACAGGATACACAGGCTGGGACCAAACAGTGCTCAGAGCTAGGGCCAGGCTGGAGAGAGAGCACTGCTCCCACTATGACCTGCACGTGTTGACCCCAGGTCCTGCAATCCATCACAAGTTGACAGGACATACGGGCAGTTCCCATCAATGCTTTGGGGATCCTTGATAACTCAGCTCATCATTCCCAGCCTCTCTGGGGCACAGGGAGTGGGTTCAGTGCAGGAGGGCTCAGGAAGCACTGGCACCGGTCGCAGTGGTCTCCCTGCTCACACAGCCACAGAAACTGCTTTCCCCAGCTCTCTGCAGCCTCCAACACTTGAGTCAGCTCTCTGCCTACTATTTCGTGGGATATTAACCCACAGAGTACTTCCAGATATGTAACTCCTCTTCTGTTACAGGGAAGGCACTTTCATTTGTTAACAAAAACTTCTTTCTGGATGCAAATGGGAACCGAGGTGGAGCACCCAATGTGGTTGTAGTGCTGGTGGATGGGTGGCCGACCGACCGAGTGGAAGAGGCCTCCAGGCTGGCCAGAGAATCTGGGATCAACATTTTCTTTGTCACTGTTGCAGCAGCTGCTCAAAGTGAAAAGCAGAATGTTATTGAACCAAATTTTGTGGACAAGGTAATTCGTGGGCAAGGTAATTTTGTGGACAAGGTAATTTGTGGGTCTGACCAGGACTGAGTCTGAGCATTTGACCAGGCTTGAGTCTGACTGAACTTTCCAACCTACTTCACTCAGAGCACTTTTCCTTCTTACCACTTACGGTTATTTCTTTTCCTTCTTGTACATACTGTCTTGAGTTTTTCTGTACAAAAGCCAGGCAGTAATGCTGAAGTCAGAAAGGGGATGAAGTCAGTTAAGTTCTGGTTTGAGGGACATCATCAAGGAAGTGTCTTTTGACTGACTAAACCCTAGCACACACCTGCAGTTGTACTGAGACAAGTGGCTTTCCAAATATACAGTATTTGGAAAATGACAAAGTTGTACCGGAATTGGTTTTTTTCTCACAAACATCCTGCTGTGCATTTCCCACTAGGGAAAGGCGCCCTGTCAACCTAATGTCAATGTTGCAGATCCCACATAAGCAAAGGTTGGCATAGTCCCAACACAAGCACATCCTAGTTTTTCAGCTGTACTAGATAACTCAAACATTCTCTTTTTACTGTCGATGAAGGCTATTTTTCAGTTATTTCTTGCTGCTGCTATGGACTTCATGGTAGCTCCCTGACATATACAGAAAAAAAAGAGACTGCAAGCTTTGATTGATTTCTATTTGGCACAAACACTAGCTGCCTCATAACAGTGCTTCCGAACAAGCTGGTACTCTGCTAGAGAAGAAGTTACCTACCAAGTGGCAGACCAGGCTGGGCTTAGGAAACAGAGTTATCTGGTATGCTCAGAAAAGAGATTCCCATCTGAGCTGGGTTGCTCTGCCATGAAATAATCTCCCTTGAGTTTCAGAGGTGCTCCAAAGAGCTGCACTGTCTCTGGGCAGCATATAATTGGATTGTAGTCTCATTTAATGTTTTTAAAAAACAAAGCTACAGCAAGTCTGTGAACCTGCCAGTGACACAGCAGAAGTGAGAGTAGAGTGGGCTCAGAACAGCAAGGAGGGAATGGTGGCTTAATACTGTTGCATCATAACACTAAAATAGAAGTGAGATAGTAAGAACAGCACATGAGAGGAAAGACACCATGAGGAGCCCAGACTGGAGAGAACCGTAACTCCCTTTGAGCTGTTAGGCTTTATGGAAGTCAAAACCAGTGCCCCTGTCTTTTAAAACACCATCACAAAGCTGATGGATAAAGCCTGGCTTAACAAAATATTCTCACCCAGAGAACTGAGGAATTGGCTTTTAAGAAGCACTAAAGCCAAAGACAATTTGATCCAGCCTGTTTGCTTCACTCCCCTCCTTGCCCCAACCTTCCCCTCCTCCACCCCTTGACTATTCCCATGTCCTCTTCTGTGCCAGCCCTACTTCCTACCCACGCTCACCTGACTCCCACTATAGAAGCCTCCCACAGATCTGGCCCTTATGAGTATTTACTTATAAAAGTTGGTTTGGTTTTGGTTTTTTTACTATTTGGCAGAGCCAACACTATGAGCCTGGGTTTTCTCTGCGTATAAAGGTATGAACCAAGTTATCCTCAGCTTAAGCCCCAGGTTTCACTTCAAAGTAGTGAGGTTTGTCAGCAGGCAAAACTTTCATTCTTTTCCTAAATGATGGGAGCTGAAGTTGCTACCTGGCAAACACACAGGTTCTTGTAATGTCCACAGGAGCCACGTTAAGAGCAGCTCCGTGATTTGGATGCTTTTCCCACGAACAATGTGGCTCACATAAAAAAACCTAACAGGTGGCAAACTTGCTTATTACAGTTTTTGCACTACTCCATCCCACAGTTAAAAAAAATAAAGCAGGAAAAATTGTCACATTACACAAGTATCTGTGATGCTACACTGACATCATTTCCCAGGGAAACAGATGGCGATTGCAGGAGAGGCCATTTCAGACTCCAGCATTGCTCTTTCCAGGAGCCTGTGTTTACAATTTAGCTACATACCCTAGCAGGAACAGGCAGACTGATTTTCCATTGCATTTATCCTCATGTTGCCCTGCAGGCAGTGTGCAGGACAAGTGGTTTCTATTCCATCAACGTGCCCAGCTGGTTCAGCCTCCACAAGGTGGTGCAACCCCTGGTGAAGCGGGTATGCGACACCGACCGGCTGGCTTGCAGCAAGACATGCCTCAACGCCGCCGACATCGGCTTCGTGATCGATGGCTCCAGCAGCGTTGGCACCGGCAACTTCCGCACGGTTCTCCAGTTTGTGGCCAACATCAGCAAGGAGTTTGAGATTTCAGACACCGACACACGCATCGGAGCTGTGCAGTACACCTATGAGCAGAGGCTGGAGTTCAGCTTTGACAAGTACAGCACGAAGCAGGACGTGCTGAACGCTATCAAAAGGATCAGTTACTGGAGTGGGGGCACCAGCACGGGAGCAGCCATCAGCTACGCCTCAGAGCAGCTGTTCAGCAAGTCCAAACCCAACAAAAGGAAGATCATGATTCTCATCACAGATGGCAGGTCTTACGATGATGTCAGTGTGCCAGCCATGGCAGCTCACCAAAATGGTAAGGTCTTCTATCACTGTCTGCTCTCCCCTCATGCCTCAGCACTTATCCAGGTCAGATAAATGCAGTTTGCTGTAATTTGAAGGCACTGGACAAAATCTTACCAAGGAAGAGTAGTACTTTTCTCTGGGGTCCCACTGAGCTCCAACAAGATCAGCATCTGTTTGATAGCTGAATAAGGAACTTCAGAAAAAAACCTTATAAATCATCACAAATGCAGCAATCTCAAACTACATTTGCAGTAGTGGTCTTAGATTTACCGCAATGAAAACTTTCATGCATTTTCTAAACTTTGGGTTTCTTTCCAGGAGTCATCGCTTATTCCGTTGGAGTTGCTTGGGCAGCCCCAGATGAACTGGAAGCCATTGCATCAGACCCTGCTAAGGAGCATTCCTTCTTTGTGGATGAATTTGACAATCTCTACCGCTATGTTAATCAGCTCATCCAAAACATTTGCACAGAGTTTAATTCCCAGCCACGGAACTGATGGACTCAAGCAAGGCAGGACCCTTGGGTGCTGTGCTAAAGGCATGACAAATGCCACAGAAATAATACCAGTCCAAGAAACACTGCAGGTGTTTCCCTCGGGGACTTTCCAGTCAGCAGGGTTGATTTGTGGCTCTGTCCCTATGCATGATAGTGCTCTGTGTAGACTGGGATTTTTTTGTTTGTTTGTTTGTGGGTTTTTTGTTGTGTGTGTGTTTTGTTTTTGTTGTTTTTTTTTTCTTGTGGGCATCACAAACTCTGATTTACATGGATAGCAGAAGAGGCAGTGAACATGGAGGAAATAACTGCAGCTGTTTGAAGAGCTGCTTCCAGCACAGAGCCCCAACTTGCCCAATTCTCACCTTTGGACACATGCAAGTTCCTTAAAACCTGCTCCCTGAAGTGACCAGGTTCCTTCAGGGAGTGGCCAAGCTGCTGTGGTAGAAACACCTCGTGTGGCACTGCCCACCAGATGACACCCACAGATCAGGGCTCAAATACCAGATGGAGGGGGAAAACAATTTGAGTACTTTCTTAAAAGCAGGTACTCTCTCCATACTGCTGTCTTGTCAATAAGTTAAGCTTCAGCTAGTGTCAACTCAAGCACTGGATTTATCCAAACCCTGAGAAACTGGAAAGCAAGAGAAAGGAAAGGTTCAAACCCCAGGACCCTATGACTCTTTGACTCCTTTACAACTCTACAACCCCAATAAAGCCTCAAATCCACAAAGCAGCCAACACGCAGGAACTGGAATATAGTCTCCCACAACTCTGCATTAATTACTTGATCTTGAGAAGTGTCTTTCCCTCTCAAGCTTCACCTTTCACTCTTGGGTGGTTCAAGGCCTGCAGGACCAAAGTAGTGTTGCCAGGACACAGGAGACTTTTTGAGAAAAACTGTGGGTTTAAGCTGCTCACAATCACTAAAGCATTTAAGACCAATCACTCTGTCATTAAACCAACACTCAGAAGTGCAGTCTCTAGGTCAGGAGAGCTATTCAAGAGCCATTAACAGGATTTAAGAGGAAATTATCTGAAGTTCTGTATTATACACTGGGAAAAGCAGAATTTCAAGCATTTACAGATACTCTCCCTCAAATTTAGGACTGGCTATTCTTTTATGGACTGATTTCAAAATATACCTATTACAGCCCTGTATCTGTCAGAACACACAGTGGTTTCTTAAGTGGAGAACTACCCATTTAGGAACCAGCAGTTGCTCGTTAGGTTCCATCCAGTATCATTAAAGAAAATACATTCATTAAGCAAAGTTACCAAAGCAGCCAATAAAAACATGAGTGTTCACACTCCTTACAGCAATCAAAGCCATGCTGTGCCAGGCTTGTGGAACTAACAGGAAATGGAAAGAAATTAAAACTCAGATTTGCCCTATTACTTGCAAATCAGGCTCTTAACAGCATTTATAGCTTTAATAACCATGAGTCAAGATATTAGCCACATAAATTCTAATTGAATTGCCATAAGGGAAACTCATTGTATGAGCAAAAGTAGCACAATTTTAAAAATCATTATGTTTGGAAATATGACTGAAGTAGCTTATAACCTGTCAGTAAGTAAGCATAACGCAATAATGAAAACAGCAGATTCTGTGTGATCCCCCTGGTGGGGTAACATATCAGGCTGGGGTCCTCTCAAGAGGTTATTAAAACCAATTTTGGATGAAACAGTGGTCTTACACAGTGAAAGTTCATCACTTCCCCTTAGAAGAAACATTAAGTTCCAGCTTTAATTGAGTATCATCAATTCAACCATTCTACACAGACTGAAAGGACAGGACACTGTCAGCTTCCACAAATGTATTTGTATGCAGAGTTTTTACCACTAATCTCTGCTGCTGCACTTCACAGCATTAGCTTTTGGCTTGAAAAAATTATTAAGGATAGAGAGTTAGGCATGAGGCATGAGCAGAGCAACTCCAGATATCCCACATCTCCTGATCCAGCTCCTCACTACCCTTCTGCTGAACAATCTTTCTCTGTCAACATAAACATTACATTTTGGACAACACTCAAACCCATAAACTGAATTTACCGGGGACTTCAGTTCAGACACCAGATTTATTGCCTGAAAACCTGTTTGTCTGAGACTTGATTTGGGGCTGTCAAGAAAAAGGCCTAAATCCTAACTTACAGCTACTCTTAATACTGTGGTTTAATTTTTAATGCAGCAGCCACCACCACATATTGTTCTCCATACTGAATGTACTCTTGCAGCACCAAAGATTGGTACCCTGCAGAGACTCCTCAATGCTTCACTTGTGCTCTGCCAAAAGCACAGCAGTGGTGGCCAAGACTTTAGGAACAGCTAGAGCACACATGTTCTTTAGGATGTATGTAAGGGATATAAACATATGGGACATATTTTTTTCCTCAAGTTTAAAATTTAAGCAATTACATTAAGCTTTTAAATGCTTTTTCACAGGAAAGTTGCAGTTATCTTTTGCCAAGCATTTATAAAGGGCACTTCAGGGCTTGTTGTTGTTCAAATGGTTTGTCTTAAGTTAACAGAACAACTATGGTGCTTGTTTTACAATGTGCATTTTTATTTACTTCTTGAGACAATCCTGAAATTGTCAAAACTCTGTGAAAGTGGTTTAATTAAACTCTCGTCAAAACTTAGATGTCCTGTTCATAAGCACCATAAACTTAAGCAGAAGCCTCAAAATTCTGAAGAATACACCCTTCCATGCAATCACAGAACACGAGTCCTCTTCATCTTTACCTTTCATAGCAATCAAAGCACTTGCTGCCTACTAAAGTCTCTAAATACTGTTTTATAATTAAAACAAGCTAACTTACAAATATATATAAATGTTCAAAGGGGTATATTGAAGAATGCAGAACTCCTGTAACATATACAAGCTATTTTGAGCTTATCAACATAAGTTGCTATATCTTTTGCAATAAAATTGTCTCAAAAGCACATGCAGTGCATGTCATCTCATATGGGGTTAAAAAATAAAATGCAAATACAACCCATGACATTTTCGCTTCTGAAACACAGCTGAGGTTATTACTACATTATAGAAGACTTAGCAAGGTTGGCAAAGCCCCAGGCGCTTCAGTGTTGTCCTTCTACATGTTCAGATGAAAAAAATCCTTAGAGTGAGCTACCACAAAATTACCTGTCAGAGGCATCAGTCAACTGAAGCAAAGCCTAATGACTGAAGGGCATCAAAATTATATGTACTTCCCAAGGTCTGCAAGACCATGTCTTATTTGGAACCAGACTTCCTTTGGAAGGTGAAAAAATGTAACACCAGCTCAACACACTTTCTAGATGTGGGACTGAATCAAAAGAGGATCTAGATGTCCAGTCACTTGGTGCTGGGCCACTTAGTTTCAGATTTCTGACCAGTTCAGTGGCACCTGCTGTCTGGCAGAGGCATGCCCAAGAGTAGAGATGGGAGCTGCCTGAACTAGTCGCTGCATACACAGTCTATAGGGTGTTGTCTGATCACCCTCTCCCTAAGAAATAAGCTTCTTTGCACTCAGAGTTGGGCTGGTGGCTTATCAGTGCTCAGCAACCACAATGCAGAACACCCACCTGGAAATACCTACGGCCATGCTCTGGAAGCCTTGGCAGAGCTCAGTTTCAGCATCTCTTGCCAACGCCAGCATTAGCCACTTACATTTTCAGTGAGCCACCAAATTCAATTAAGTGTTCGGCCATCTCTTCAGAGACAAGTAACTCAAAGTCATGTTTCCCCAGAGCAGGACACTCCATTTCTGCTGTCACTGTGCCACCCTGCACCGAAGGCATTGTCTGCAGTGTGCACCTCCTGCTCCTCAGCTGCTGCTGACAGGTGGACAGACAGGCTTCCCCTTCCTCTGTGCACTCCTTCCCCCATGGCTCTCCAGCACACAGGGGGAACCATACCAGTAATCAGCAAATGCTCTGGAGTTAAGCATGAAGCCAGGATCCACCCAATCTAAATATATTTAAGGATTCAACACCCTACCTGTAACTCCACCCCTGAAATCATCCACATTATCTACTTAAAAAGTCAAAGCAAGCAGTAGGTACAATCAGAAATATTGCCTAGACACCAAATTTAAGTGACTTTTCTGTGATATACATACCTTAAATTACTTCATGGTTGAACAAATCCACTATATTCTGCTAGCTATTGTTCTCTTTCCATGAGCAACACTACAGAAACAAGTTGATCCCTTCTCTTTTCCATTCCCAATTCATTTTGAGACATCTTGGACAGAATCAGGCCATTTACATTTGACAGGTCACCTACATATTGAAAACATTACAAATGTACATCTATGCAGCTGAATGCTTCGAATTCCTCAAAATAATTTTTCCTTGTTAAACTGGGGGAGTAAGGGGGATGAGGGTTTTAGCACAGCATCAGCAACATTGCTCACAATCAACAACGTCAGTTTTGATGAATGGTAAGAAACACGTTGCTTTCCTTAACACCAGTTTAACACAGTCTTTGATTCCTAATGAGAACTCTGATAGTACAGTTCAAGAATTCCAACACTCATAGAAATTACTTCTTTTTAAGCACAAGAAATTTTATCAGTTCCACTGTATCATCAAGTATACTCACTTTTCTCACATGCAAATCATCACAGGGCCATGTCATAGGCAAACCCAAAAGCATGTTAGATCTTCTTTTCTCCTACCTCAGGAATCTTCTAGAGGCATTCACACTTGCTTGAATGAGCTTGTACTGTCAATTCATGAAGTGATTCCTCCTTTCCTCTGAGGCAGGAAGATGAGTAGGACCAAATCAGGCTATTTTATATCTACCAAGAAAAGATGAGAACTTCACTTATCCCACCTACAAGCTCAGAAAAAAACAGGATGGGATCAATGACAACAACTTGTTCTGCGTTGTTCTGTGTAGGTTCTCCTGCCACCCGCTCACAGTGCCATTCTGAGCAACTTCCTGTAGAAAAGCAGCTGCCATCTGTGATGTGTGATTTGCTCTCCCTCATCCTCTCCCCAAGGGCAGAACCACACGTTTATTTTTACGTTGCATGAACGCTGTCCTTGGAAGAGCCACGTGTCTGGCTGTGAACAACGCCTGCTGACAGACAGGCTCCTGCAGCACCGCACCCACTCCACGTGTCTGCTCACCCCACATTCACCCCCACATAGGGACCACGTGCCTCAGCACATGGAAGGATGTGGGGTGTCAACAGAGCCAAGCTGGTGCAGCAGTATGAAACCAAGACATACAGAGAACAGAAAAACCAAGGCACTCCTGTGAACAGTAACACTCTGCACAACTCAGTAGGAATTTCACATGGAGTTACCTCAAGCCCTTCCAAAAAAGTCTACTTGTCTTACTCTTAATGCACTTCCCCCTCCTAGCACTCACTTCAAAACCACACGTATCTTGTGATAAAATGCAGAATTATGAACACAATGCAAATGTTGAAAAATAGTATTTATTAGCACCCAATTTACATAATTATATGGTACAAATGACACTTGCTGCTGCAACATTAAATAAAGCTGCTCTTAAAAACCATTGCTTATTTCTGGAAGTCCATGTGATTTTGCTCAGCACAGAATGCAGGTACAGTACACAGATACCCCACTTCACTACTGTCATACCAACACAAATACCTGCATGGTTACCTCAATGGGGTCTCATTTTAAATGGCACACTAACATAAGCAGATCTATATAATTTTAAATGACAAAATATTTATTTGACTTATTCAGGCAAGTGAATGTAGCTTTAAATATAACCTATCCAAGAAGTTTCACAAAATATGAATTGCAGTGAAAAAGAGAAAATTCAGGGCTGCACTTGAGAAGCTCAAAATTACAGTGGCATATTTAAAAATAATCTTCCTCTGAATTTTCTATCTTTGCCATTTTAGATATTTATCCAGCATGTTAAACTACGGAGTTTTAGTAAGAAGTTTAATACTAAGTTTTTGAAGAAGCATTTCCTTTTAAAGCAAAAATTTATATTTGTAATAATAAATATCAAACAAATCTTTGGAGATTGAATCATTTTCATTTTTCTCATGTCCCATGAGTAATAAGCCTTTTCAAAATCATGAAATATATTACATTTATGGATGCTTACTCCCAGGAAAACTATTTCCTTCATAAATTAAAACCCAGAACTTCTCACTCAAAATAACATTCACTTTTGTACAACAGTTGCATTTAAACAATATAATTTTGGTGGTATGGCAATTCTGACACAGCCTTGTGCTGAGCCATACACAAAAAACTGACAAGCAGGCTATTACTCAGCAAGTAGGTACTTCTCATTTGTATCCAAAATTCTGCAAGACACTTGAAGTCCCACATTGTTTCAAAGTAGTCATTCAAAACTGGTGTGTAAGATCATAACCTAGCCATAGTTCTGAACGGGAATCTTAATTTCCTTTAGCTGTTTCTGTATCAGCCACAGTCGTCTTTTCATATCAACAATCTGCCATGGAAGTGACCCAAAACAGAAGAGAAGCCACTGTAATTACTAACATTAGTGGTTATTACCTGTAGTAACTTCTCCTAAAGAGAGCTGTCAGGTATCTCTAAGTTTCAGCAGAAAAAAGTGTATTGATGTAAACAACAACAACAAAAAAAATCCAAGCTACAGTCCATATGGCAAAGAAATTTGTCTTTTTCATCCTGACAGTTAACTGAAGATAATTATACAAAATACAATGCAAAGCTGACAAATATCAACAGAGAACCTTACAGCAACAAGTCATCTCATCATGGAGTTCCTTCAACAAGTTTTTTCAGATGCACTATTCAAGGAAAACATAGCACAAGACTGCTTTTCAGTCTGCTTGGACTATAAAGGTACAAGAAATCATTAGCTAACATGCTCAGTTTGCATTTCCAAAAGAAGTGCTAACACATATGAGACAGTTTTCAAAACTGACGCGCATTTGCAAATGTCCAACTGCAAGGAAACAATTCTAGGAGCCATACATCTGAAAACAAGCTACATTCGATAGCACTGTATCTTGATGATAGGAAGCATAAAAAAATAAATTCTTAATGGAAAAATATCAGCTTGAAGTCCATAATTTATCCATTATACAATGTTTTTGGCTGCTTTTCACAAATAATCCAAAAATAATGACAATAGTTGGCTTGGCAGTAAGTTATCCTTTCTCTTTCAGAACAGTACAAATCCAGCTGTAGAAATATGTTCTCAACACCACAGTCTAATATTCTGGTGTGAGGACCAAGAGTTACTCGAAGTAATTTGGGAGCCTGCAATTCAAACCTAAGGGAATCAAAGAAGACTGGCCTGGAGGATGTCAATACAAGGTTTTGAGCAGCTCAGAAACACATGCATGGGGTATGGTTTAAACACTGGTGTGATCTCCCAGGATCATACCATGGCTTGGTAGCATGAGCAGGGCAAAAGTAACCTAACACACAATACCACAATCTACACTTGGGCTGGAGGAAATTGGGCTAAGAATACAATATTGTCAAATGCCTTTTTAGCTCAGACATAGCTTGGGTTTTGTAGTCTAAGAACTAGTCTCTCCTGACAACAAACCAGATGAGATCCATAAATTATGCTATTCAACTGGATTTATGCCTTCTGTAGTGGAATCCACATTCTCAAAAGTATCTTAAATTATACAGCAATTCATAAGCTTTCACAACTGACTACAGAGCAGCAAAACCAAGTCAGAAGGCAGGCTAAGAGATAACACACCAAAATTAAATAAACTGGTGTAAAGAGGTACAAATTAGCCTTTTGGTGGTGAGAGGGTTGGGGCTGAAGCTGAAACTCTATCACCCTTCAAAAAACCACTCCAGAAAAATCAGAAGTCTTTTATGACATTTATCCTGAAGTAAGAGCTCACTGCAAATGAAATTTTAAGATTCTCAGAAAATGTATCCTAAAGGGAAGTTTAAGAGGGAAGATAAAAAGCACATATGAAAAGGATAGATAACCTGCC